TTGCAAAGGGAAACCCAAAGGAAAATTTGAAAAGAATGATTTCATGCATTCCCGATTTTTTGAGTCAAACCGATGCTCAGTTGTTCAGTGGCACCGATTATTTTTCCCCTTTTTTTCTGGTGGCTGCCCCACTAAGAATGGTCTTCCCCAAAAAGGGTTCCCTTTTTTTCCAGGGTCACTGAACAACTGAGAGCAGTTTCCTTTTCTCCGGCACACTTTTGAGCCTCGCCAGTCTTCTGGCACGAGCCCGCTGGAGGCAGGTGACAGGGTTGGGCCGCCATAAAATGCCCTCACGGACCCAGACCGATTGGGACTTTCCCTTTTTGGTGGAGGGGGCCCAGGCCGCTTTACAACCAAGTACCAACAAAAGTGTGTTATGTTTTCTCGCCGAAATCCACTGGAGCTGGGGGTCTATTGTATAGCTTTGGGTGGTTTGTCCATTTGAATACCGGGTATTGATTGGGACTCACCTGTTGTATGGATCGACGAAATATCAGAGACATAATCCGTGTTTTGTCTCAAAATGTGAGGACCCCCCCAAGCAAAACACACACACACACACTGTTTTCCTTTTAGTGTCCCTTTAAAGGCCAACCACAGGGGGACATACATATGTTAGTGTACCCGCCCCTGAACTTCATTGAGACATGGATTTTGCGAATGGAGCCGGATCCAAGTCACGCAGAGATCTTTTTCCCAAGGGTTCGGAGCTCACTTGGCCGGCTGATGAACCCCTGAAACCGTTGTTTGTGTTTGTTTTTTTTGGGGGGAGGGGGGCGGGGGAGGGGGAACTGCCTTTCCACTTCTGTGATACGAATGGAAGCCCTTCCAAATGATAGCTAAGGTTTTCAAGAAGTATCACAGTGGGAACAACCCATTCCCAAAACCAAAGCAGGGTCTTTCCACCAACTTTTGTGTTAACCGGGTCTTTGGGAAGGCTTGGGGTCCATTGGCTGGGGAGTGCACTCGAGAAGGAGGACTGTGTTTCGGTGCAATTTCATATCAATTGAGGCAATCAGAACCCGGGTAGTTCAGGAAGGTTAGTAAGAGATCGTCCCAAACAGAAATGGGTGCGGCCGCCCTCTTGATCATGTGCATAGTTTTGGTTAGGCCGTGTTAATACATACAGCAGGGCTGCTCCGAGCTTTCAAGCGGCGATAAGCCTTTACGGGAATTGGTTTGGTTTCGTCCGGTTTTCTGAGGCCAATATTTCATCCAAAAGGGGGGATGTACCCCGACTAATCGAAATGCATTTCGCGCCCTTTTCAGGCCAGTGGTAACATGCTAGAGCTCGGGGCAGAGCTCACACCCTGAATTGAGTTTGGGGGGTCCTTTTGTATATTTTGTCCTGTTGCCCGTGTTGGTGGTTTCTTGTACTCGTTCGAATGCCGTTTTTGTTGGGATTTGTTGAGTCGACTTTGCAGGATTGCCGAGACGGAGATCTTACGAGCAGCAGCATGAAGGAGCGGTCATTGCCAGACTCGATTAAGTTTCTTGCCCTTTTGTGCTTTTAGGTTTCCTTCATTTACCCTTTCAACCAGCAAAAGCTGACTTTTTGCAAGCGGGCCTAAGTCTTGCCAAGGTGGACCAACCTTTCATTCAACGCTTGTACGCAGCGGAACTTCATTTGCCTTTCCACCAAGGAAATTGTAGGTCCTCTGGTCAGAACCCATCTTTGTCGAAGGCTAACGCTAGTGATGAGTCAACATGTTGGGTTGACGGGGGTTAGCCCGGACTGAGGCGCAGGCGTAGAGGACGCGAAGTCCGGGGTACGCAAACGCACCACAAATAACAGTGTTTTATGGGGTTCGTGGCCAACTGGCATCTTCCAAGCGCTGTCAAACTTGCGTACTCGTGTTTGGGAACTCGTTGGCAGGCGTGGCACTTCTCACAGGCGCTTTTGTGGTCTCAGGCTGTAGATTGCTGCTCTTCGGGAGCCGCGCGAAGCCAAGAGAGGTCTGCTGGTCTGTGTTGCGTTGGGCAAAATCCCTGTAGGCGCAAGCTGGCTGCGCCTGAGCTCTTTTTCAACAGCACACCCATAAAGTCAGCACCCTCAATGCACTGGGCTGCTGCGGCGGGCTGTTTGAGAGCGGAGCTTTAAGCTACAGGCTTCATCTTCGCATACTTTCTTGCTTGCGCGCTGCGCGGGCGCTTGTCATGTTGGCGTCTGCGAGCTGCTGCGCGCACTCCGTCTACTTCCAGAATCCCTGATGGAAACACTTCTTTCTGGTTTGCGCAAGCTGTGCCCAGGCTGTCACCACACGACACATGCCATAGACCACATACTCGCGTTTCCGGCCAGTGCTATGTCAATGTGTGGCTGTGTCTCGCAGTGCTTTGACAGAAGTCAAAGTCATCCCACAAAACCCGGGCCTCTCTGATTTTTGGTTGCCAGGCTTAACTGGCTTGACTAAGCTTGTTGCCCTTTTGCCCTTTGGGTGTTTTTGCACTTCTTTTGAGAAAAAAAAGAGAAAACTTTTGACAGGTGGGTCACACTCGAGCCAAGTGTCGCCCATGCCAGGTTTCACTACAAAGTGTGTTCCCGGGACTTGTGAATATGGGTATGTGTCAAAACAGGGAGACTACAAAGTTTGTGGTTTTCCTTTTGCCTTCCCTTTAGCCAAGCTACCCCCAACAAGAAACGTACACCATAATCAACACAACAATCAGGGGCTGCTGGAACGCGATGTCCGTTTCCGAACTTTTTGCTTGGGCCAAGGCCCACCCAGCCAGCCAACCCTGAGAGGTAGAATGGAGGTCAGGGAACACCAGCTTGTTGGAAAGAAGGTCCTCAATAAGTTGCCGCGTGAAGTGTCGATTGGGCTGAAGGGGAGTTCTGTGGGGATAAATTGGTGCAGTGGGTTCGCTCCCTTCAGAATCAACTTCAACTTAACCAAGGTCAACCAACTTTGGGGTTTCCTTCATGTTCTCAATATGTCTCCAGCAAGGCCGGCGCTTGTCTTCTCTTTTGCCGCTTTAAGGAACCCCTTAGCTTGGCTGCGCGCAGCGCGCGCACGAGCTAAGCGCTCGGAAAACAGAACCACGCCGCTCTGGAAGGAGCGAACCACGGTCCAATTGCCCAGTGGCTTTTTTGGTCACCGAAAGAGTCAATCATTGGAACCTTCAGGGCGCAAATCGGGTCAGAGCACGTTCCCGATTCTCGGCAAAGCCCCACCCAAACTGTTACCCATCAGCCAGAAGGTTATAACCATGGTAAGGGGACCAGCCCCCAGTTACCCAAGTTATAACCATGGTTCCAACTGGTTGAACATGGGTTTTGGAGGTCTTTCCCTCATGGATTGCTCGGGGTGTTTCCGCCCAGGATCCCCTCTTGAATATGACCCTCAAAATCCACCCAGGGTATATTTATTTATTCCTGGGGTCATGAGTTTATCTCTCAGGGTGAACTCAATAATATGAAACAAACTCTGAAAACAATAGACTTACGCGTGCAGAGATTGATCCTGCATGACAAAACCATCACCCCAATTGAGAGAGGTGATTGGAAAGGTCAAATTTTAAGTCGTTCTCCGGTTGAAAAGGGAAAGGATTTGTTCGGGCGGGTAAAGCGCTTTCTCTGCTTCAAAAAGAACCCAGGTACCATAAGAGATTCCTCTAAGTGGATCGTCAATCTAAGCTGACTCGGATCGACAAAAGAACTCGTGGCGCCCAGAGCTGGTAAACGCAAGTCAAGATCCACATGGGAAGAAATGGGGGGCCCTTTATGGACATGGGTGTGGCTCAAAATTCAGGTTCCAGACCGCAGATTGGCGCCATTTCTTGTTCCTGTTTTGGAGGTCGTTTAGTGTACCTGGTTTGCTTGCCAATGTGCACCCCTGAATGCATCTAGGCTAGACATGTTGTGCTCTGTCGAATGCTTGATGTTCCAACAATTGATTTCAGCCCATTTACCCTCCCACCAATCAACGAACCTGACAGGGGGGTCCTGGAAGACCATTTTGATGTTCAAGGGACCCCCTGTCAGGTTCCACATTAATTGGTGAGGGTAAGCACTCCAACAAAAACAAACAACTGCGACGGCCGGTTGGATTTGGAGACAGGAGCGCGACTTCTCCCTGGACCGGCAAGCGTCAGGGAGCCCCAATCAGCAACCGGTCGCTGAGTGCGTGGGGCGGAGAACTCATTCGAGGACTTTGCTTTTGGTTGTTGGATTTGACTTTCGCTGGTTGGAGAATGTGTGTTTGTGTTTCTCACCAGAAACCTTGTTGGTGAGTGGCAAGCAGAATCTTTGGGTACTTGGTTGGCCAATCACTACACTCGGGGGAGTTTAGCTCCAAGTAATTCGGATGGTTTGTGTTCCTGGTGCGAATTTCTACGTGCCAGGAAATTGATTTGCCCTTCCACGAAAATGACAGCCTGCGAAATTTGACATCCACGTGTTTGTCCGGATGGCGAGTGATGCAAGCATGTGGAGCGAGAAGCTATGGGCTCAATTCTTCATGAGACATGCCGTCTATCCATGGTCGCTCACTGCGGAAAAAAGAGACACTCTAACATGGTCTCCCGCGGTGTCTGGAGCATGTACGCATAGCATGACATCTCGCAATGATGATGGCAGGTACGCGGAGCATGTATGGATATCTAAAAGTGATCCCTCCAGCTTCCCCCAGAAAACATGCAGACAGGATACATCACATTGTATTGAATCAGGAGTTCCTAATTGTAAGACCCATACGGTGGCTACGAGTGTGTTTTTGGAACTTCCATGTGTTTAGTCCTGAAACGGGTCAATGCCTTTCTGAGAGAAGGGTCCCACCGGGCTTACCTGAGAATTTATTTGGCGCTGGAACACAATTCAAATTGAGGGTTGCATGAATCCATACACTTCTGTACAAGGGGTCCGAGCACTGGCATGTTTTAACAACAACTCCAGAGGTGAGGTGGTATGTTTGCCTTCGTGTTGCATGTCCCTGTATTCTTTTGAGGGCGCCCTTTGTGGGTTGCCTTGGAAAGCCAAGAAACCACTCACAGCTTCCTTTGTTGAGGGGGTCCCCTAGACCCGTACGCCATGACGGTGGTGAGACCCATGGCGCGAGTGCCGGCGACGCCGCCGGAGGAGCCGGGTGGGCGTTCCATGGGGTGGACGGGGCCAACTTCCTCCATGGGCTTCTGAGAACGAATGCGCATCCAAGCGCGGGGTGAAACATCCAGTGTTCAGATATATTGGCCTAGTTTGTTGCAAGTTCACCGATTCAGGGGTAAAACAAGCTTACTGTGTCGCTCCTTCACTTGACGATCGAGTTCTTAATCTCGGAATGTGCAGAATAAGAATTCATAGGAGATCCCAGCTTGGTTGTCCTTTGGGCGACCAACCTCCACTTCGGCCATTTAGAGTCTGTGGGTGTCACGAGATACCTGCAGAGCGCAAGGAGGACGGTTGACCCTTGGGAGACTAAGTTGTTCATTTACCAGCAAAAAGTTTAACGGAATCTAAGACCAACTCAGCCAGGATTCGCACACCGCACACCCCTGGCCGACTTTCAGTGGGGCTGTCCCCATATTAAAAAGGGAAACCAGATCACTTGTTCAGTGGCCCCCGTTTTCTCCTTTTGTCTGCTGGGCTCCCGCAAAAAGGGATCTCTCTACTGCTAGTGTCACTGGGCAACTGGGTTCTGCTCTATGGGAACTTAAAATGGCACCAACAAACCATCAGTCTTGGCGGAATATCCGTGTCAAAAGAAACATGTTTGGACTCTATGTCATTTTCAGGAAGACACCCATTGTCGAGGGTGTTCTATATTCTTGGAAACTCCCATGCAGTTGTAGCAAGCAGACACGCGTACAGGTATGTACAACACCCGAGCAAAGAACCAACCCACAAACAAAGCAACCGAGCCACCAACCGAGCAACAACAAACAGACAAGCAAGCAAACAGACAAGCCAACAGACAAGCGTACATAATGCCTTGAACAGATGCCACAATAGGCAGCGCTTGGGATTGGTGGCCATGGTCATCAACTATCAACCTCTTACCGAAACTCAGACAGCCGTTGTAAGGCTTTGTTTTCACAATGTACAACGAGCCCACTTGGAGTAAAGAAGCTCACCCATCATGATGAAAGTGCGTTACTAAGCGGTAAATTCCTTCTTGTTACTTTCGGAACTCTAGGTGATTTGCCTGAATTTCTGGTTAGGGGACAATCTACCATGACTCCACCATGAGCGGTGACTTCCACACGAGAGACCTAAAGGGCCCATGGGCAAAGACCTCCCCTTGGGCCTGGTGAAGTAGCCCCTTCTTGGTGAAGTTCAGTTCTGTAGTTGACCCTGATATTCTGTCCTTCCGGTCCAAAAAAGGGTCCCAAGCTTCAACCCGGTGCCACGTATTGTGAACCGTTGATTGTGTCCAGGGGTTGGTCCTTCCCCAAAAAAATGTGCAAACCATAAGCCAGGGTAGAAAACTGTTGGCTTCTGTCTTTTGTTGAGGGACCAGTTTTATGACCCTTTCTTCCAGCAACTCTGCGCGCCAAGGCCAAACAATACAAACCGCCTTGGTGATTCTCTGGTTGTCTTGAACGTCCCTTCAAGATATTGGGCCTTTTGATTCTCGAAATAGACTCTCCAAAATGGCCGTCACTTGTTACGACTGACTTAGGGGATCCAAATCCTTGTGAAGCAGGTGGTTTTGGATGTATCCTTTTTCCAGGCCCGTTTCCCTTTGGCTCCCCGCAAAAGGCGGTCGGGGACACTCGACCAATTTGGCGCAGGAGGGCCTCCTGGTGGCGTCTTCCGACGCGAGAGCGGGCGCGCAGGTCACTGCGGGGCGGGCGCTAGGCTATGGGGAGGTGCTGCTGAGACTTGGGTGCTATTTGGATCTTTGACTCGGAACATTGTTTGATGCACAACATCCTTTGACCCTTGCCACTTTGGTTGGAACTCTCTGTGTGCTTGTGTGTGTTTTCTGTGTGTGTGTGTGTGTGTCTGTGTGTGTGTGTCTGTGTGTGTGTGTGTGTGTGTGTGTGTGTGTGTGTGTGTGTGTGTGTGTGTGTGTGTGTGTGTGTGTGTGTGTGTGTGTGTGTGTGTGTGTGTGTGTGTGTGTGTGTGTGTGTGTGTGTGTGTGTGTGTGTGTGTGTGTGTGTGTGTGTGTGTGTGTGTGTGTGTGTGTGTGTGTGTGTGTGTGTGTGTGTGTGTGTGTGTGTGTGTGTGTGTGTGTGTGTGTGTGTGTGTGTGTGTGTGTGTGTGTGTGTGTGTGTGTGTGTGTGTGTGTGTGTGTGTGTGTGTGTGTGTGTGTGTGTGTGTGTGTGTGTGTGTGTGTGTGTGTGTGTGTTTGTGTGTGTGTCCGTGTGTCTGTGTGTGTGTGTCTGTGTGTTTGGGTCCGTGTGTGTGTGTGTGTTTGCATGTCTGCGTGTGTATGTGAGTGTGTATCGGTGTGTGTGTGTCTCTCTCTCTCTCTCTCTCTCCCGCTTTCTCTCTGTGTGTGTGTGTGTTTTCAACAGTCTTGTGTGTTTGCATTAGTGTGTGTGTGTATATTTGTGTGTGTGTGTGTCTATTTGTGCATTTGTGTGTGTGTGTGTCTATCTGTGTTTGTGTGTGTGTGCGTATGTGTGTATGTGTCTATGTGTATTTGTGTGTGTGTCTATCAGAGTTTGTGGTATAGTTGCTTGTGTTTATTTGTTTTGTGTGTCTGTCTACCTGTCTTTGTGTGTGTGTGTGTGTTTGTGTATGCGCCATGTGTGTGTGTGTGTTTGTCTGTTTGTTTGTTTGTGTGTATGTTTTGTTTGGATTGTTTGTTTGTTTGGTTGTGTTTGTTTGTTTGTGTGTGTGTTGGTTTGCTTGTTTGCTTGTTTGTTTGTTTGTTTGTTTGTTTGTTTGTTTGTTTGTGTTTGTTTGTTTGTTTGTTTGTTTGTTTGTTTGTTTGTTTGTTTGTGTGTGTTTGTTGGTATGTCTGTCTATTTGCTTGCTTGTTTGTTTGCTTGTTTGTTTGTTTGTTTGTTTGTTTGTTTGTTTGTGTTTGTTTGTTTGTTTGTTTGTGTGTGTTTGTTGGTATGTCTGTCTATTTGTTTGCTTGTTTGTTTGCTTGTTTGTTTGTTTGTTTGTTTGTTTGTTTGTGTTTGTTTGTTTGTTTGAGTGCTTGTTTGTTTGTTTATTTGTGTGTTTGTGTTTGGTTGTGTTTGTGGTTGTGCTTGTGCTTGTGCTTGTGCTTGTGTTTGTGTTTGTGTTTACCCGCTTAGCCGCCAAAAGTTTCGGCTTTTCGCGGTTTGGGGGCAGAACTGCCAAGGAGAGAAGAGCCTTTGCTGTTGGTGCCCCAGGAGATCCGGCGGGATTTTTGCCGAGTTGAACCATGGGTCCGAAGATCTGGTATTATATGCTTTGGTAGACTAAACATGGCTGATCTTTGCTGTGACCGCATCACCTCTTAGACCTTTTGGAAGCAAAGTGTTTTTGTTTTTCTACCTACAAAAGGTTACACCTTTTGCTCAGCCGGGAAGAGCAACCCAGCAAATATGAAGAATTTGAATGTGTGGTTTTTGATATAGCCGAGGGTTGGGCCAACACTTAGGGTTTTTAGCATCACCTGTTTGGCCATGTTAAGATGTGTCGATCCGTGGTAACGTTTGAACATGTTCAGGAGCCCTACACACACACACACCGAAAGACCCGCCTACAACTCCCCCCAAGGTTGCGGGTCTTAGTTGCCACAGAAGGGTTAGATCGTTGGGGTTGGGTGGGGTCCTTGATGTTTGCCGCCATGTTGAAACAGACCCTCTAGAAAGCTCACCTGCTTGTTTTTGTGATGACGGATCGAGACCATGGGGTTTCGGTCAGGACGCCCCTCAATTCCTCCGGGCGGCGCCGGAAGTCTTCCAGGAGGCCGGTTAAAAAGGGCTGGGGCCATCAGGCGGATTTGTTGGTGATGCCTTTTTCTAGGTTTTCCTCCCAAATGGTTGTTTTCCTCTTTGATAATTTTTTTTTGGTGTAGCCCAGAGTTGGGCCAGGTTCCACTAACCCCAACCATCGTCCTCGAAGACCAGCCATGTCAGTGGTGCCTAGTTTTCCATTGGCGAGCTCACCGCCATGATGTCGGTTCTTTACTTGCGGATCAAGTCTTGTTGCGGGCAGCGGTTGGAAGCAAGTGGCTGACTTCCTGTTGGTGATCCTTTGAAACCCTAAGGAGTCCACGATTCTTGAGACATACCAGTATCGCAAAGGGAGCTCACTTCCTGAGTTGCGGGGTTTCAGCCCAATGAAGTGAGGGGCCAAAGAGTGAGGGACACTTGTCTACTTGTTGAGTCCCAAAAGGTTATGATTATGAGGGGTGAAGTTCCGCGAGGTAGGTATTCCTTGCTTTGCTTTGCTTCTCTTTGGCTTGCTTGCTTTGCTTGCTTTGCTTGCTTTGCTTGCTTTGCTTGCTTTGCTTGCTTTGCTTGCTTTGCTTGCTTTGCTTGCTTTGCTTGCTTTGCTTGCTTTGCTTGCTTTGCTTGCTTTGCTTGCTTTGCTCGCTTGCGTCCTTGCCTTGCCTTGCTTTGTATCAAAACCAAAAACAAGCAACAGTCAATATCGAGAAAGAGAGAAAAATACACAACACAAGAAATGGAAGAAATAAAGCCAGCCAGCAATGCAAGCGAGCAATACAAGCGAGCAAGGCAAGGCTCTTGCTTCATGTCTGCCTTTCTTTCTTCCTTTCTTCCTTTCTTCCTTTCTTCCTTTCTTCCTTTCTTCCTTTCTTCCTTTCTTCCTTTCCTTTCTTCCTTTCTTGCTTTCTTGCTTTCCTGCTTTCTTCCTTTCTTCCTTTCTTCCTTTCTTCCTTTCTTCCTTTCTTGCTTTCTTGCTTTCTTGCTTTCTTCCTTTCCTGCTTTCTTCCTTTCTTCCTTTCTTCCTTTCTTCCTTTCTTCCTTTCTTGATTGGATTGGTTCTTTCTTCCTTTCTGCTTTCCTTTCTTCCTTTCTTTTTGTCTCTCCTTCTCTCCCTGTCACTCTTTCTAAACTCTGATCGAATCTGGTCTAATCTCATCCAATCTAATCCAACCTTTCACCCTTCTCAGTTTAGCCCTCCATCCGTCCATTTACCCATCCATCAGCACTTTTGCCTGTAAAACCCGGGCCGGCCTTTTTTCCATCCATGGCACCCGCGCGTCGCTGGCGTCCGTCCGCGCTCAGGTGGCGGCCAAGCTGGGGGACGCCACACGGCCGGCGGCCTTCGCTGCCTTTCTGCGGCTCCCGGAGCAGCAGCGCCAGGCGCGCGCCGCTTTTCGTTGGACGGGGATGGATGGGGCAGCTGGCCCAGGGGCCCAGCAGACTCCGCCCGCTTTTTTCTCCTCTTTTTTTGGGGGAGGGAGGGTCCCTTTAAAGGAACACGACCAAAGAAAGGATGCCCTTGTTTTTTCCCATGGCCGCTGGGCATTTGGGGTAATGCACTTGCTGGTGCTGGGTTCATTTCCACATTCCCTACTTTTTGCACCAGCAAGTGTTTTCAAATGGGTGGGGGCTCAAAATTGGATATGGACGGCAGGTGTTGGCCCTTTCCATTTACTAGACCAAGCCACCCTATGTGTGACGGCCAGGGAGACCTGCATTTTTGAGAAACACCTTGTTTGGCCTCACTGTGCCTGTTCAGCCCTAAATCGGGGGGGAAGTGTTTGCGGGTGGCTGTAGGTTTGTGAGAACTGACGTGCAAGTAAGGAACGGAGCTTAAAGCCCATCATGGTGGTTCTCCATATGTTGGAACCCCTTGGGTTGGCAAAGGGAAACCCAAAGGAAAATGTCGCCATTTGTGAGGGCCACTATTTTGACAAACAACCTTAGATACCAAAACCACCTTGAGCCTTTTGATCCAACAAAGTTTAGACTTTTTCTGGCCAATCCACTCGATCAGAACGTGCCGGTTCTTGGTTCATGGAACTCCCCCAACCCTCGGAACCAGTCCCTTGAGTCAGGCACTGCTGGAGCTGGGCCTGCCACAAGGCAGTGGGGCCTTTGAGGCCACATCGCGCCTTGACCGCGGAAAACGCGGGGCTGCGGCTGTAGCCAAAAAAAGGGGCAGAAACGAGTGATGGCCCAGTTATCCAGCTCTTGGCTGGAAGGGAGCCGTGAGGGAGCTGGAGCTAGGAGCTACCAGCTATGTCCATTCAAAAGGAGCGGTTTGGGTCGAAGAATGATTGATAGGCTTCAGGCTCCCCTGCCAGCCTGATTTGACCTTGGTTGGCCTTCAGGGCTCCTTAAAGGCTAAAAACGTGTCCCTTAGAGGAGGGTAGTATAAGGCGCTAAGTTGTTCTACACACGTTGATGGGGGAAGATGGTTCCATACAGGTTTGAAAAGGAGTTTGGGCTGTCGGTTGGAAAGCAGGCCAGGCGAAATGGCCCAGTCAAAGCTCGGAAATAGTACACCCCCCCTTCAAGAGTTAGGGTCTTTTTCGGCTTTCTTTGCCCTTTCTCCCTCACTTGGCATGCCAACAATTCTTTTCACCCCCCTTTACCCTTCCCTTCAAAAGTCCGCCGTTCCCCTAATTTTATTTGGGTATGGGTCAAAATAAAGCCACCAAGGGACCGCAGGTTTTAGTCCATGTGTCCATTTACCAGGGCAACCCATTTTGGGATTTCCCTATTTTTGACCCACAGCCAGTTGTCATCTTCTGAACCTAAGGATCCCTGAGGTCACAACGGTGACAAGGCTTGCAGCTCAGGGCTCGGTGCAGAGGTGAAGCCCTTACCGACGACCGATACCGGTGGTTTATTTTGTTGAATGAGTCTAGATGAGTCCAAAACAAGATCAATCCAATGCTGGTATTGCGGAAGACAAGGTAGTTGGTCAACTTCTCATATAGGTTCAGTCAACACATCCATGGTTCATTTGGGAGGGGCAAGGTGGGTTTCAAGCTCTAAACGCCCCACAAAAAACCACCGAGTTGTCCCATGTGCCCTTTGGGGACCCTTTGTAATTGGGACTGTGCCTATGACCTGACTCTCAGGAAGGCCGTCGGGGCTTTCCTGCGGGACTTCCCTATGTGCGGGACCCGGCACGCCGAACACCCTGGCTCCCCAAAATGCGCCAAGCTCTGGGCAACTCTTTAAAAGACCATTGTTTGGGGATATGAAAATAGTACATATAATTAGAGATATCCAGATCTTGGAGACCAAGTGGCTATGGTACGCACATTTGCTGGGACCATTATGTTAACGTCATTTGTCATTTCAAGGTTTGCGGAGTATCGTCCACTCGACCATGACAAATACCTCTTATATGAGTCCTCTATAGTGGGTACATGAAGGGTATGACAGGAACCTAGGAATCCCCTGCAAGGACAACAGGAGAACCATAATTAAGGGATGTATGGGGAAGGGTCGGTTAATTTGGTGCACCCTCTCCCTTCAAGACATGATACAGACACTGGAGATTGCATACATACATACATACATACATACATACATACATACATACATACATACATACATACATACATACATACATACATACATACATACATACATAGATAGATAGATAGATAGATAGATAGATAGATACATACATACATACATACATACATACATATATATGTATATATGCACATACACACATGGTTCCCTCTAGTTCCCTGTTCACATCAACAAGAAGGAAGCTCACTTTGAGTTGGCCCAAGCGGTTCAACTGACCCAAATGAAACGGTTGGGCGTGGGTTCTCGTTCCCCACTCAGAGTTAGGAGGTTCAATCAACTGTTTGGCGGCAGGCCCCTTGTTCAGGGTTCCCGAAGGATTTCCCTTTCTTCCAAAGAGCAACGTTGCCATGTGCGCCTTTTCCGCTCAACCCAACATAGGACCGGAGTCTTTGTTGCGGGGGCTGGCACCCCATGGGATTCCTTCCGTTTATACAGGGACGCATTTTGAGACCTTAGGCCTTTGGCCTGAAGCTATGGAATCCAAGGAAGTCTTCCAGGACATTGGTCTGCTAGAGACCCTCCGAAGGCTTAGCATTTTTTGTTGTTTTTAAATCGTATCCTTCATAAGGCCTGACCCCAACCCTTGGGCTCGGGGTTGTTTGGGTGGTAGATAGTCTGAAGTCGCTTGCTTCCGTGGTTAAAAAGTATGTGCTTGTACTCGAGTCAAGCAGGCCCTGATGCTAAAAGTGGAAAGTCCCATGCTAATGGGAGGGTACCATTCCTCTCACAAACATAGCATCTGTGGGTTGGTGCCTAGAGGATATGTTGCCTCTTTGAGAGACCCTTTGTCAGTGTTATGATGTTAGTGGCAGAGAGGGTAACCTTTTTATAAAGGTCCTCAGGGGCCAAAGTCTTCCAACGCAACGGCCGGCCGGCGAGAGTCTTCCGTCACAACTGCTTTCGATCAAAAGGCTGATTGAATGTATGAGCCGTTAACTAGCCCAGTTTTTGTTTGTGTACGCGTGTTAAATTTTGTAGCCCCAAGACGGTGGTTTTGCTTCGGTTCCCTATAAGGAGGGTTTTGGGGGGTCACCCGCTACCCCCGAGATATTGGGATGTCTTGGATTGTGAGGTACTCATCTGCCTTGGACTGGCCGCTCTTCGCCCGAGTGGTGGCCATCATCAGCGAGCGCGGCACTCGGCTGGAGTCCGGCGAGCAGGCAGTGTACCAGGCGCACGAGGGTCTGATCCATATTTAGTGTACCCTCAAATATGAGATGTTGTGTGTGTGTGTCTGGTGTGTGCTTTGATGGTAGTGATATACCCTTTTTGTGGCTGATTTAAACTGAGACCATCAGGAAACCCACCATGTTAGGGCTCCAAACCAATATTTCACCGCGAAGCCAAAGTGAACCAGGTGCTTCTTACTCAATGCCCAGGTTTTGGAGTCACCGTTGCCCAGGATGTTTGGATCAGAAGACTTCAGGTTTCATACACCCCAGAAAAATGTATCAAAATAGAGGGGCCACAAACATCTAGCAACGGCTAGACGAACGAGTGGCCCGAAAAAGCAAACCAGATGGTGTGCGCGGCATGTGATGTTAAATGCGTTCTTGTTTTCGTGCACGACATGCTCGCGCACGTCGTGCCAAGGCATAAACACAAATGTCACAAGAACAAGATATTAGCGTGGATCTTTGTTTTTGCTCTGCGTGCACTTTCGTGCTTGTTGATTTGTGTGCTCTGCTGTTTCTTGCTCCACATGCGCTGTCGTGCTGCTTCCTCTGCATTGCTCTGGTATGCCTTGCTCTACGTGCAGTTCCGTGCTTGTTGCTTTGCATGTGCTCTCGTGCTGCTTGTTCCATGTACTCTCTGCAATCTCCGGTGTGCTAATTGGCTGTGCGATGAGGCTAGCAATTTTACCCAAAGACCCCTTTGCAATGCTTTTGAAAAAGGGATGCCCTCAACCGAAAACACGTTTGTGTATGTCAAAATAGCCTAACCCCAAAAGTTGCCTTTAGTCCGTTTCCCTTGACCCAACAAGTTAAGGACCCTAAAAACACCAGCCGCAAAAGGGAGTACAGTACCCTACACCCTGAAAAAACCACACGGACACATAGCCATCCACCGTCCGCTTGGCCCGTGAAGGTGTCGGATGCCATGGCGCACAGCTGCCGGCCCAACGTGGTGCTGGAGACGTTGCCGGGAGGCGCTTGCGACTGATGCGCGAGCGATGCTTCCGAGTCGAAGCGTCGGGTAGAGTTGGAGGTTGACTTCGGATGAGTCAACCCCTGTTTAATAGGGGGATCATCGCTTTTGGAGAATCCCCCTATTAACAAGCAGAAGGGGTGCTAGAAGTATGTTTAGTAGGAGAGCAGGTGTTGGTGGGGATGTGATTTGTGATGGAGAATGATCAAACTTCTGGAACTTGTTCTGTTAATTCATGGGGCGTGGGGGCTCCTCCAAAAGCGATTCCCCACTAAACCCAGGGACACCCCCTATTGATAAACACGGGTTTATTAAGCTGGGGTCATCATTATGGAACAAGTCAACAACTCTTGTTGGTACTATGAAACAAGAGTTGTTTCCATGAGTTCTTAGCCAACAAGAAGCCGACTAATTACCAAGAAGTATGCACACCTCAGGCTCAGTCCTGCATTACCATGATGCCAGGGAGATATCTAAGTCCCTGTTCCAATTCGAGCTCCGTTTTCACACCAACCACCATCCTCAAAGGGCACCAAGCGACCCTTTGACTGGAGGAGAGGGGCAAAGCGCACTTCTAGCCATGCCAATGGTCCTCCCTCTTCTCAGAAAGTGGGCACAAGGAAGACTGATGGGCAACATCCTGCCCCAGCGCTGGGGGGGATGCATGAAGCCCAACTGGGACAAACCACCAACCCACCAACCCACCAACCGACTGGTGCAGGATTCTTGTGCTCGTGAGGTGTGCGTGAGCTACGGTGCATCAGCTACACCGGCATCGCGGACACTGGGACAAAGGGCAGCACAATTTGGATCAAGAAACGTTTTGGAAACCCTTTTCTCCCTTTGGGCTTGTATAGCAACCCCCCAAATTGCAGTTTAGTCAGGGTGGGACGTTTTTGCGGTGAGGTGTCTCAAACCCCTGTAAAGCAGGACATGTGGACAAAAGGGAACCTGCTTGAACATCAAGTGCCAAGACCAAAACGCGCGTTTTGCCCCAGATTCTGCTGGAGGTTTGGGTTTCGTGCTGAGGAAAACGAGGCGGTGACGGTGAGCTACGTGCCCGAGGAGGTTTTGCTGGCGGACACCGCCCTGCGGCGAGCGCAGATCCAGCAGCTGCGCCAGGGCTGGACCTGCGCCTGCCGCTGGGACGGCGAAGTCGTCTGGGTCCGGGTGCGTCTTTTTTAGCGGGTACTGCTCCAACTGGGAAAACAAGACACCTTTTTGGGGGGGGGGTCTCTATTTAAGACACGACACACCCATGTACTAATTCAGAGCGAACTCGAGGGAGTGATTGCAACCTCATTAATAGTGACTATTAGTGGTGAGTAGTGACTCTTTGTGGCAATTAGCAAGTATTACTGCGCATTGGGGGCCATTAAGGACCATGAAGGGCCCTTTGAGCCATTTTTGCAGGAGGGATGGGTGGTTCCACCTAAGAAATATAGGCCCTACACTTGTATGACCATGTTAGCAGGTCTTGGGCGCTCACCTTTTGCCCAAAGCAAATCAGCCTGTTTCGATTTGCCACTCTTATTTTAGGTCCCAAACGGTCCGGTAATTGTCCTGTCATGGTCCCTCGCTTCAAGGAGGTTGAGCCTTGGGCCAAATGTTTGGCCTCAAAAGTTGGTTGTGGGTGGGTTTCGGAGACCCAAAAAAAGCCCCCCCAAACGTCGAGTGGCCCTGGGCCACTGATTTGAGTGCTTGCCAGAATGATGGATCCTCTTTTCAAATCCAAAGGAAGCCAACCATATTTTGGGGGGGACGGAGTCAGTTTGGTGGATTAGCTTTCACCGATATTCAGCAAGTTCCCACAAACGACGGGTCAGTTCTCCGCAGGCACAGTGAGCATGTGGGTCCAGCATTTGCATGGCAGGGATCAGTCGAGGTTTGATGGCCGCATGTTGGGCTCACCGGTTCCTCTTCCACGGGCCAATGTTTGATTAGTCTCTAAAGCAGAGGATGCAGTTTCCAGCCCGTGTGTTTTGAAGTTGCGCCAGAAGTTCAGCAAAGGATGCTGCAGAGAAACCAGTCAACTTATGCATTGCAATTTAGCACTGCTTCTTCAGAACATGTATGCATGCACGCGTTTGTTTCTTGAGAAGTCGCTGTGGTGAATCACTTTTGCAACGACCAGGGCGGCCACAAGGTTCAGGAGACCCCTTCAGTTTGGTCATGGTCTACCAGGTTTCTATTTATCAGGGGGCAGCATCAGGTTCAGCATGTTATGTTTTTGTTTCTTTGTGCTTGAAGCAAGCTCACGCTGAGGCGAGCGGTGCAAGCTCGGCAAGGATGTGCCGTGGAAAGCATGGGGAAGCGGTATTGATGGAGTCGGACCTCGCAAGCACAAGGAAACGTGTGGCTTCTGTTTCGGAGTTGGGACCATTTCACGACAGCGGGAATCGCATGATGTCTAAGTGGCTGTTGCATTCACAGGTCTCCTCAGTTGTCCCAGAACAATATTTGCCTGTAGAAATGTTTGCATGCTTGCGGGCACTTTGCGAACCCCTGATTGCTCCAGACATCCGTCTCTTTTTGGGGAACAGCCCGAATCACGCCAGGTTGATCAATCCAGAGTCCACGAATGTCCATGACGCCAAGGGGGTTCATACCGGGACTCCGTGAATCCAAGGTTCAGAGTCTGGTGAGAGAGTGCCCTTTTTGACAGGCGTTTAAAGGGAGAACCAAATCACCGAGTTTGCCGTTCCCCCGAACCCACGAGAGCCCTCTTTCAGAATGCACAAAGGAGACGAAGAGGTAGGGACCGGGGTGAGCATGGGATGGGGAGAAGCTGCCTCCCCACTTTCCACTTGCCTCCCTGCTTTCCCACGAGAAGAATTCTGATACCGAATTTGTTGGTCATTGCTTTCAGTCAACAGCTTGGATCGCGCGTTTGGACTGGAGGCCATGGGGCAGCTTTCGGAGGTGGAGAAGGGCCTGAGCCCGAAAATGCCACAGGAAGAGCTGGAGAAGCGGCTGAAGGCGCTGACCTGGAGCCGCAGAGAAGGGGTAACGACCCCCTCCAAGCCCAAGATGTTCAAGTCCAAACCAAGAGGCACCTTTTCCTTCCCAGTGCCTTCATGCTAGGCTTTGGGGGGGTTGGCTGAGTGGGAGTTGGAGTGGGAGCGGGAGTGGGCGGGTTGTTGGCTGGTATGTTGGTTGCTTGGTTTGTTGGTTCGTTGCTGCTGGTGGTGCTGGTGCTGGTGTTGTTGTCGTTGTCATCGTCATCACTTCACTTGGGCGACTGAAACCGCTACCTCACATTAAGAGCATGCGGCTGGGGCCCAAGGAGGTTTATTGGGGGGGTCCTTTATTCCAGGTGAATGATTTTGAATGTTTTGAGCGGTGTATACTGCCCAACAGGGCTGAATCTAGGAACAAATATGTTCAGAAGAGGAAATCCAAGCAGGGAATCAAGATGAAGGAGGTTCTATGCTCAGAGTCACATGCGTCCATCCCGCTGGGGAGGGGTCGTCACTTGGGCCTACGGGCACCCTCCTGCTTTTGGCAGCAAGTTTAACCCTGCCGAGTCCACAAGCACCTTGGCAACCGAGGATGCCTAGCAGCACCCAACTGAAGCAAAAAGTGCTCAACCGGAGGTGCTGCGGGACATCGACGAGGCGCTGCCCTTTGCCATGGCGGTGAAGGCAAGGAACATCCATGTCGGTTGCTCCAATGAATCCTGGGGTGGACAATTGCACCACATCTATGTATTATATAGGGAAAAGAACACCAAAAGAAACACCATCCATTTGTGTAGCCGCGTGGTATTGAGGCCCCAAGCAACCCGAGAAAACCTGCTCACCAGGGTTGCGGGATTGAGGGGTTGGTACGCCAACCTCCCCCTGCAGAGCCTTCCATGTTGGTAGCAGGGAGCTTCAAGTCCCACAAGCGTTCTCCGGACCGGGAGTGTGAAGCTATCCCCAACTCAACCTTGATCCTTGTTGCAAGCGTTTGTGGGGGTGGTTAACTGGGGTTACTCACCTATGCATAAACCCACCTCCAACCTAAACTAACCCAACCGCGCAACCTTAACCCAACCCTGCGGACCTCACCCACACGGGTTTGTGTTCACTTGAGCAGTACGCCACCCTTTGGAGAGTTTCCCCCCCCAAAAAAAAACATTGTTGATAGACTTTGGCCCCTTTTTGGGCTTGCTTTCAAGTTGGAAACCAAAAGAGAGCCACCCTGTAGAGTGTTCCCTGAAGAGATGACAGCCCAACAACTGTTGACAGACTTCTGCATCCAGGTTTCCATTTGAACCCAACCCACCAGACTGATTTGTGCCTTTGTTTTTGGCGGGGGGGTGCCTTTCCAAGTTGGCGCTAGCCACGGCGTTTCTTTGGCATCGGCGGCGCCTGGTCCCGTTTCTCGGTCGCAGGCCCGGGTGCGCTTCAAGGTGGCGCAGGCCTGCGAGGCGCTGTTGGCGCAGGCCGCGCAGCAGCTGCCGGGGACCCCGAAGACGTCGGGGCTCGGGTTTTGCAGTGGAGGATTTTTCCCAGACTAGGTCCTCCAGCCAGGTGCCCTTTCTCTCCCCTTTTTTGGTTGGGAGGGTTCCCCTACTAAAATAGACTACAGAAAAAAGGTACCCTGGTACCCTTATTCTAACCTCTCTACTGGAGGACCTAGCGGAAAGTGCGCGCTGGTTTGCCTCACGTCCGGAGTTCCTGCACTTTAAACGTTTCGGGGCTGGACCATTTTGGTGGTAAACAAGAAGTTCAGATCGTTTTTGTGGCTAATCCACTCAGGAAGTGAGTTGCAGGTTTGTCGAGTTGTTGTTTAGTAGGTTAAGGGGGGAAATAATGACTAACCCCAATTTAATGTGTTTGTCGGTTTTCATTTTAGTTTTGGTTTTGGTGCGTAGGCTTGATTGGTTTGTCGGCTTGATTGATGGTTTATTGGTGGAAAGAAGTCATTTGCATTTAGAGATGCTACACACCACTCTCCACCAAACAAACCCCACGGCAAGGATGGTTTGAACTATTTTTCATGAATTGAATGCAAGTCGCAAAAAGGGGATGCGTGACCCCCTTTGAAGGAAGAAGCACAGGGCGGTAGGGTCCAAATTTGGGACTGTTCGCTTTGTGTTTCTGCGTGGGCTGCCAAAAGATCAACAGACGCAAAGCTTCGAAACTGGAGGTGTGGAATAGCCTGGAGCCGAAGTACATTTGGACGGGTTCGCATGGACGTCCAGAAGGCATCTTCCAGACATGGACCCTACAAGTCGAGTCAGACCAGTGGTCTTCGTGTGCCAGACTCAACAGCTGGCCGTGATGACCACAACTTATTCATTGGGGTCATCCCTTGGCGAGAAGCGCCAGTAGCACGACCTAAGACTCATGTGCGCCCTACATGTGGTTTGCGTTTGAAGGTGGGGTCTTTGCAGTGGTTAGATAATGCTTCTGGCATGGGGCGTGAACCTGCAAAGTGGTGCGAGTTCTTTGGTCCAACATGGGTAACATGGGTACCGTTTACGAAGGACACCCACTTTAGGTGGTTATAGGTCTTTGCTCTGCTGGCGGGTGTTTGGATGTGTTCGGTGTCCCCTAATCAACAAGCCGTGGGTCTCTATGGAGTTCCATCCAACGTTTATGCGCATAGGGATAAAACCATAGACCTCCAGCAATGCCGGGTTTTCTCGTATTTTGGGCGGGCTTCTCTTGTAGCTATCCATCCGAAGAGTGCACCCCTCCTTTTTCCCCATGGCCACCGGAGGCCATGCAATGGGCCAGCGCACTTGGTTGAACCGCTCTTGGCTGGTTGTCGCACTCTTCCTGAACTTGTAGCGCTAAAAACCGCGCCCCCGCGGCATCTCCAGCAGCGGAGCCCACTTTGCGATGTAGATGGTGCCAACGCAGAAACTTGCAGCCAGGTGCCATTTGGAACCAAAGAGTCCACGCCTTGCCGGAGCCAGAGGGCGCGGCCACTCTGCGCCGACCTCCAGCCAATGACCACATCTAGCAAAACCATCGAGCGGCAAGCAGCCTCTAAAATAGAAGGGCTCCAACCAGCACGGCCTTCATCATAGCTCCAAAACCAATGCTCGATCACCAGTGTAACCACCAGTTGGATAGTTGGATGGCTTTCCATGTCTCATCTACTGAGAACCAGCAAGTTGAAAGGAGAGAGAGATATTGCCAGCAAAAGAGCCCTTGAGATCTTGCACACGAGTCTCTCATCCATGTCCCAAACCTCCAGTCGGGCATCTCCGTTTCTAGTCATTTAGTTCTAGATAGATAGCTAGTTAGTTAGATATTTGTTTTCTTGTTGTTTCTTCGTTTCTTTTGGTGCAGGTGCTCCCTTCCAAATCAACCAACTTTGTTTGCTTTTGCCCTGATGGTTTCGGATGCGAAAATGTGAAGTACTTGGACATTGTGCGGCTTTTGAATACACCAATGAACATGTCCCCCTCTCGCTCTCTCTCTCTCTCTCTCTCTCTCTCTCCCTCTCTCCTCGCTCGTCCTTCCTAAGGGCTGTTTGAGGGGCGTAGAACGTTGCGGTGTCTCATGTTCTGAACTTAGGAGTATTCCCCTGAGCAGTTCCTTTCTAAGGCCCACCAACCGGAGCCCATCGCCAGCTGGCGCTGAGGTACGCTCTGGCGCTGGACGAGAACGAAGTGGTGTTGGGGCAGAAGGGCCTGCGGAGCGCAGTGGCCCGGAGCCATTTTTCCCGCCACACTTCCCATGTTCAAGCAACCCCCCAAGGACCGAAAGGGTTAGGGGGTTGTTTTAGCCTTGAGGCCAAATTGCGGGGGTGGCTGGGTGCTGTTGTTTCTCGGGAAACCAAAGTCAACTTCAGACACTTGCCAGGCCTCCCATGGATTCTTTCCGCATGCCTTGGCGAGCTGACAAGCGATTTGGGGATGAACGAGCTATGGTGCCCTTCCAACCTCCTGTTCAAAAGTGCGGTGCACCTTTTGTTTACTGGCTCTTTCAAAATCTTTGGGACCCTGCCACCCCTCATTCAGCCTCTAGCTTCTTTTTTTTTGAAGCATGGTTCGGCATTTGGTTCTGCGGCCGTTTTCGGCCTTTGGCATCCCAGTCCTCAGCTCGCGCTCGCTCCAAGGACAACATCAGGCGCAGGCTGTCTCAGCTCCTGGAGCGATTGGAGGCGACGGCTCGGCCCTGGGCTTTCGCTTTTGGGGCTTTCCTTCATTTCGCGGTGGGTCAATATTAAACCACCAGGGCACCACAGATGTTGCACCATGTTTCTTTTGGCCAGGGTAGCCCATTTTGGGTTTCCGTATTTTTGACCCGCCGCCATTTGTTTCGTTTCCCACCCCCCTGAGTTCTGCGAAACATGCGCTTTATGGCACCACATTTTGTAGCAAGCAATGTTGGTATGCAAGAGTTCAGACTGTGTCTGGATCCACTCAGGGTGGAGGTTTGACCGGCATGTGAAGTTTCTGCGGGGGGCTCAGTTCAGGGGGCCGATATTTTGCTTTTTTTTGAACGGAGCCTGTGCAATATCTTCCAGCCTACCACCGGAAAAGGGAAAAGCCGAAGGCGATGTACCCATGGAGTGGGTTGGTAGTACGGCAATAGGGAGGCTGGGAAAAATAGAGGCAGAGTGTCTCATTCAAGAGGGAATCCGGATCACTTTTGGGATAAACACCCCCCCTCCCCATTCCTCCACCCAGTTGATAAATGTGACGTCGACAGGAGAAACTATTTAATTGTACATAGATCCTTCCACCCCGCCACGCCTCAAACTGGGGTCTCCTCCAAGACCTGCGGCCAAAGGTGGAACAGAATCTGAATTCTTCTTTTGTTCAGTATACCTCAGTGGGCCAAAAAGACTCCCCGGCTCTTAACCGCTGCCTTGCACCGCCGCCCAACCGCAGGCTCCTGAGATGGCGTAGGGAAAAGGGGGCGACTGCAGGCGGACTGGGAGGACAGGGTGGCAACTCCACTCCGCAAAGAGCCCCCCTTGCCCGGCCACGAACCCTGACCGTTGCCCACATGGAACTCAAAAGAACAGCATTGTTAGAGGAAACCTTTTCGGGGGTCCCTGCGTTTGGGCTCCATGTAAATTGGACTTGTTTAGTCTTATGTGGCCTTCAGCCTTGTTAACCCCTTACCCCTTGGGAGTCAGTTTTGAGGGAGTCAGTTTTGAGGGAGTCCGGGAGTGTAGGGTCCCAGAGAGTTGTGTGCAACTGCTATGTAACATCCAGGTTCAACTTTCAACAGCCAGATCATAAAAACACCTTCCAAGGCAAACCGAACTGAGGAGAACCAGCCTTCCAGATTTCCAATCACAGCACCTTTTGTTTGAACAACCTCCCTGGGGCTCCCGTTTGCAGGGGGCTAGGCTGTGTCAACGTTTCGTAGTATGTTGCATCGTTGCCCCTGACTAAAAAACGAAGCTAGAAAAGACTTAAGTCCCAGACTTAGGGTTGAACATTGACCAAGTGTCTCTATATCAATCTGGGTGATCACAAACGGGTTTCAGTCTGATTTCATGTTAGTTTCAGTTTGGTTGATTCATGTTTGAAACAATTGTGCAACCAACCCTGATCGAAATGAAGGCAAAATCAAGACAATCACCGTCGGCACCAAGGTTCTATAGCCAGGAGACCTACATCTTCTCTCTAATGGGCGCGGCTTGGACGCGCTTGGAAAGGGGTGTGTCTTCTTTATGGTGCTACTTTTGTGTGGAAGGAGCATCCATTCTGTGGTTTCCCGATTTTGAGACAATCGCAATAACTTGGTTGCTCAAGATTAAATCCCCCAGACATTAGCATGGAGACCCAAGTCAACAAGTTTAGAGGAATCCCTTAAAGGGGAGACATCCTTGTTGGGTTTCGTGTTAGTTTGCAGCGGAGTAATCCGCCAGAGGGTTGTGGATTCTCGTGTCCGGGCCTCTCTAAGGCCCTTAGTACCCTAACCAAGCTCACTCTAACTTGACACCAGGTACACGTTGGTATCACTTGGCCATGTATTGTATTACCGCAGTTGCTGGAGCGGTTTGTATATGGTAATTCCGTACTCTAACTTCCCTAGCCTACCTAGTTGATTGGGATTCGGGATTGGGTTTAGGGTTTAGGGTTTAAGGTTTTTGTTTCCCATTCAATTCGACCAACCCAAAAGACGCAGAGGTTTGCCGGGTGCTCTTTTTTGTATCTGCAGTTCCACAGGTCGATGCCGAAAGCCCTCGGGGTTTGGTTTCCTGAGGTGCTCCTAGACCCGAAGACGGACATAGGAGGCCAGGCGTTTCCGACACGAAGACCGCGCTTGATGTTGAGAACCACAAAAGGGGAGGAGGGTATACCTGGAATCTCCACGCGAGAAAATCGGGGCCATATCAAAACCAAGGGAAACATGAGCCATGTGCGGGGCATGGAGACTCGGATGCCTTAAGGGGGACTCTCTTCTGACGTGTGTTTGTGCGAAGAGAAGCCAAGAACAACGGCCCATTTGGAGGGGTGCCCCTATTTGGAATTCGGAGATAAAGCCAAAGGGCCAAAGCCAAATGGCCAGGTTGTTGAGTCGTTATAACGCACCGAGACCAGTTGCACCCCAAGCAAACCAACTAATGTGACCATTTGGTGTTCAATGGTGAAGGTTTGTGCAGGATCCCACGCGCATTTGTTAATTCTCAGGTCTGCGTACAAAAGACATGGCAAACACACAAAGACAGAGTTGCTAAACAGCCTTCTTGACCAAGGAGCACCCTGTGGGACGCTTGAGGAGCCTGTTTGGCAACGTGTCAATTCTTCCACCCCAACCCCGTTTTTTGGAAGGGCTTTGGCATGAGACAAAAGTTTGGACTCGTTTTGGCCACTTCACTCAGGAAGTGAGCCTCACTTGGCCTTATTCTTGGCCGTATTTGACAAGCATGCAGGCATTGAATGAAGTCCAAGTTTGGCGTGCTAGGGATTCTAGCCAGGCTCTTTGACACCCAGCATCTTGAACCAATCGTCAATACTCATTGAGCGGTGTATTTCGCTGCCACCAGTTTGACGCAGCAGCAACTCTGTTTCAAAAGCGTCACTTCAATGAAAAAGGGAATCATGTCCCCAATGTCTTGGCCCATTTTCAAACGGTCATGCACACTCCGGGTATCTCCCCCCTTTTGTGGATCTCTACGTCACCTTTTTCGGCCAAGCAATGAGCTTCCTTTTGGCAGTGTGCGTGTGTGTGTGTGTGTGTGTGTGGCTGTTCCTTTGTTTGGTGTGTTTGTGTGTGTGTGTGTTGTTGGTTGGTTGGTTGGTTGGTTGGTTGGTTGGTTGGTTGGTTGGTTGGTTGGTTGGTTGGTTGGTTGGTTGGTTGGTTGGTTGGTTGGTTGGTTGGTTGGTTGGTTGGTTGGTTGGTTGGTTGGTTGGTTGGTTGGTTGGTTGGTTTGTTTGTTTGTTTGTTTGTTTGTTTGTTTGTTTGTTTGTTTGTTTGTTTGTTTGTTTGTTTGGTTTGTTTTTTTTGCTTGCTTGGTTGGCTTTTGGATTGTTTATGGTGATGTTTCATGGTATGTGTGAGTACGTATTATATTTAGCCGCCGTTGGCGTGTTCCGCCGGCCACCCGGCTGAAGCAGGAGGGGGGCAAGGGATGCTGCCACTGCGCGAGGAATCTTGCGGCGTGGCTGGACAACGTGTGGCTCTCACGCTTCTTTTCCTGTCTTGTACACCCCGCAACCAGCCGGTCTCACTTTGGCCTTGGTCCGGTCTCAGCACTCCCTTGCAGCTGCAGCCCGAGCAACTTGCCCATGTCTGACCTTCAATTTCACACAGATGATGCTATTGGTGTCTCATTAGAAGGAATTCTGGCGGCGACTGTCACTCCCGCGTGTGGCATGGCTGAGGCACGGAGCCACGTCGAGCTCAATGCAGCAGAACTCCAGAAGATGGCCGCCGAGCGGTTAGAAAAAAGGGCTGCCCGAGGAAGGCAAAGGCAAGAAACCAGGTGCTTGGAAATCAGAGAAGGAACCGCAGAAATGAAATGTTTGTTGGCAACCTGAGGATGCTGGTGGAGCTGGACGTGGCTCCGGGCCTCAGCCGTGCCACACACGGGAGTGACAGTCGCCGCCAGAATTCCTTCTAATGAGACACCAATAGCATCATCTGTGTGAAATTGAAGGTCAGACATGGGCAAGTTGCTCGGGCTGCAGCTGCAAGGGAGTGCTGAGACCGGACCAAGGCCAAAGTGAGACCGGCTGGCTGCGGGGTGTACAAGACAGGAAAAGAAGCGTGAGAGCCACACGTTGCATCCAGCCACGCCGCAAGAGCATAGTAAAATGAAGGAGGGTGTTTTGAAGGTTAGATCTTCTCCGCTCTCCGAGCTATCTGCCTCGGCCACAGCGCCAGACAGACGCCGCAAGCTGCGAGCAGTGGGAAAGGCGCAGCAACAACAGCACGAACAAAGACATCCAGAACGCAGGAGCAGCGAGGGTAGGTTCAATGTCCGCTCTCCGCGGGTTTGCCGAGGGAGCTGTCCTTGCGCAACCACTAAAGAGACACTATAGCCTCTGACAGGAAAGAGAAAGCAAGACAGAGAAGATATGGAGAAGGGCCGGGAGGACCGACAGTAACCCGTCGCAGTGGACAACACGCGGCAACGACAGCGCGGACAACAACAGCCAGAACCCTTGAGCAGCGAGGGTACGGCCAATGTCCGCTCTCCGCGGGTTTGCCGAGGGAGCGGCCTTTGCGCACAAAAGAGAGACGATAGATGCAGATGGCAAAAAGAAAGCAAGACACAGAAGATAAGGGGGAGGGGGGGGGTAGCAAAAATCCGTCGCAAGGGAAAGTCTAAGCAACAACAGAGACAAGAACAGCAACATCCACAAGACACGCCGGCAGGCCGGCGGATTGTTCGCTTGCTTGCTGGCTTGTGTGTTTGATTGATTGTGTGTTTGTTTGGTTGTGTGTTTGTTTGTTTGTTTGTTTGTTTGTTTGTTTGTTTGTTTGTTTGTTTGTTTGTTTGTTTGTTTGTTTGTTTGTTTGTTTGTTTGTTTATTTGTTTGATCAGAGCTGCTCCGCGGTGGATCCCGCCAAGTATCCCGCCGAGCGGCTCGCCGATCCCGCCGAGTATCCCGCCAGAGCGGCTCGCAAGTGGATCCCGCCGAGTATCCCGCCAGAGCGGCTCGCCAGTGGATCCCGCCGAGCATCCCGCTGAGTATCCCAGAGTACTCGCCAGTGGATCCCGCCGAGTATCCCGCTGAGTATCCCAGAGTAGCTCGCCAGTGGGTCCCGCCGAGTAGCTCGCCAGTGGATCCCGCCGAGGCCGAGTATCCCGCTGAGTATCCCAGAGTAGCTCGCCAGTGGATCCTGCCGAGCATCCTGCCAGAGTAGCTCGCCAGCGGATCCCGCCGAGTATCCCGCTGAGTATCCCTTGCCGGTGGATCCTGCCGAGTATCCGGCCAGTATGGAGCCGGAGCGGCTCGCCAACATTCGCCAGTCAGAACCCCGCCAGCTCGCCAGTCTGGTTTTGCTTAATGTCCCGCCCGGCGCACAGTTGGGTTTACATTTCATGTTGGTGCCTTCGTGTTTTGAGTGTACCCTGAGGCTCGGAAAGGGTGATGCTTTTGTGTTGCTTTGGGCTGTGAATAAGCAACTTCGTTGAAATCCCCCGTCGGGTTTCTTTTTGGAAGGGGCGTGGCTTTTGTTGGCGGAACCGATGTTTGAGTTCTCGAGATCGGCTCGCAGACAAGTGGAGTTAGACACACAGATAGGATAAGGCCCCAAGCCGCTCGAAAACCATGCTTGAATTCACACAACCGTGTTCACGGTCGTAAGCTCGAGTGCGGAGGGTGGGGATTGCTCGAAGCGGAGTAATTTGTTTGTTTGTTTGTTCGCTTTGTTTGTTTGTTTGTTTGTTTGTTTGTTTGATTGTTTGTTTGTTTGTTTGTTTGCGTGTGTGTTTGATTGCGTGTGTGTTTGTTTGTGTGTTTGTTTGTTTGTTTGTTTGTTTGTTTGTTTGTTTGTTTGTTTGTCTGTTTGTTTGTTTGTTGTTTGTTTGTTTGTTTGTTTGTTTGTTTGTTTGTTTGTTTGTTTGTTTGTGTGTTTGTGTGTTTGTTTCTGTGTGTGCGTGTTTGTTTTTTTGTGTGTTTGTTTCTGTGTGTGCGTGTTTGTTTTTGTTGATGTCTTTTCTTGTTTGGTTGGTTGCTTGGTTGGTTGGTTGCTGTTTGGTTGGTTTGTCTTGTTTGGTTTGGTATAGTTTTTTTGTCTTGGTTTGTTTGTGTTGTTGTTGGTTTTTTTTTTTTGGGGGGGGGGGTGTAGGTTTCTTGTGGTTGTGTCTTTTTTGGGGGCAAGACAGGGATCTTTTTTTTTGATGGTCTGATCAAATGCTTAATTGTGATAATTTGTTGATTGTTAATTGCGATATTGATTGTAATAATTGTTTTTGTTAATCACCAGGCACCCTATTGAGTGAGAGCATAGTAAAGACATCGCCTATCACCAGTATGCCCACTTGCACAACCACCCGGCACCTGGCACTTGCTTTCCGGTAATAGGAATTGAGTTCGTTCCAATAAAACCGTGCTGGTGGGAAATCAGTTTTCGGGCCACGTTCTGTGATACCACGATATATTGCCTTTGAAGTGATAAAGCAATGGTAGGGACGGGAGTCCCATGGTTGTGTCACAGGCTCAGTTTCCGCACGAGACTCTCGCTTTGTCAATGTTGGTCAATCTACTGGTGAATCCACTCCAATGAAACTGACAAATGGCCAAAGGTCAAAATCCCGTACCCCCAGTGAACATCGCACCCCCACGAAAATCGATTAAAATGGGTGGTGCACCTACCCCAAAATGGTACCATTGGTTTTAACCCACGGCCAATTGTGTAGGTCCAAACTGGAGGGACCCCTGAATCGTATTTCGCCCAGAGCAGTGCTGCAAGCTCCTCGGGTTTCGCACATGGCCAGCAATTGAATGTGATTTTTTCCCGTGTTGAAGTGGTTTGAAAGGGAAGCCAAAGAGGAAACCACCATTTGTGCGGGGCCCTTGATTTTAAGACACCTAAATCCCGGCTGGCATTCAGGGATGAAGAGATGGCGAGTTTGCCACAAAACAATGCTCAAAGGATGTTGGAGGCTTCCAAGCAGCCACAATATGGGTGTGTTTCTAATTGGCACATACTTATATTAGGTGCACTCGACCCTTTGCCTGCCAGAAAAAACCGCCGAGAGGGTCAACCACTTGATCCACCGAGGCCGCGAGTTTTGCATTCGTTCGTTTGGAGCCGACGATCGGCCGACCGGCGTTGGTTCACCACATTGTGTTTGGCCTTGTTCTGCTTAACCCCTGGCTTTGGTCAACCTTTTCTGGGTTCAGTAAAATGTTACCTCGTTTGTTGGCCTTTGGCCCCGCATTCACCCAACTCTGGCTGTCAAAAACATGTCCGTGCCCCTAGCTGCCAGCTCCCCCTCATTACTTCGTCCTAATTTCCTGGTAGCCTACCATATCGGGCTTACAAGAGGGGGTACCTTCCTGTGGTCATTTGCCACCCTCTGTTGATTGAATACCGCTTCACGTTTGGGCGTAATACCGCGCCGATGGTTGGAAGTTTTGCTCGGGTTTAAAGAAGCATCAAATGGGAAATCTACAGGCAGCCATTTTCGAGCGTGCCCATTTCAGCTTGGTTGGGAACCAAACGGAAGCCACGATGTTTGGAAAGGGACACCAAAAGCAAACACCTTTGTTTATGAGAGCTCAAGAAAAAGCAGGAAGGCCCTCTCTCGGGATTTGTTGGGTGCCTTTACGCAAATTATTCTTTTCGGCCAACTTACCGGGCAATTGGCTTTCAGAAACAACCCTGGGAGCCTGAAGAAGAATCCCAGAGGGCTCTCTGTTAATTTAGGGCCAAATTTGTTGGGATGGGGCTGTGCCGTACTTCAAAGAAGTCATTTTCGTATCACGATGTGTCAAGATTTAGCCCCTTATGTGACCCTTTGTGGATGGCCTTTTGGTTTCGAGTTGTGCTCGATTTGCTGAGCCAACAAGCTTGAAGTACCAGGTCTTTCGTTTCTTGGGCAAGTATGCTTGGAAAATCGTTGGGCTGCGCACATGGTTTTCGATCGAAACACAAAGGACACCTGGAACCGCGCAAGCTAGTAACGGGTGTTTGACCCTCTTTACGGTTGAAAATCGCCTCTATTCAGTTCCGCACGGTTTCGAAACGATAGTTTGTTTTCTTTTCTTTTTTCCCCCCGAACGGTTTTCCTGAAGACGGCCGCAGAGTGCGATCAAAGAGCCAACTGAGCAAATTCCACACGCCATAACAATGGAATTGGGAGAGTGGGGTGTTTCAATTAGTTAGAGCCATTGCTAGAGGAGCCAGCCATTGCCGCCCACTTGACAACAAGCTTGAGTGGCTTGTGGCGAAGGAAAAAAGTTTGACCCTCCCAGGGGACTTGGCAACTGATTCACTTGTTGCCTCGATTCAGCATTGGTGAAATCAGCCAATTTGTTTGAGCGCGATAATAGTCACAAATTGCCGCTAATAGTCACATATAGTCACAAATGGGTTGCAATGGCTGCTGGCTCCCCCCCCCCCCCGCCCCAAGAAAAGAAGCACGCATTTCTGTTGGATTAGCGGGTTTGTTTACTGCATGGGCTGAATATCTTCCATGCCGTGCCATACATACGATTTAGGGTCCAATCGCTTCTTTTCCAATGGCTCTGAATCATTCGTGGACTATAGTTCTACTTACGTTCCCGTTATGCGAAGCACTGGACAAATGGATCTGAGAACCTCCCTCCCCCCCGCTTCAAGTAGGGGATTGGGCGAGCAATATAAAGGGCTAAGCAGCTCCGCAAATCCTGCACCAGTTATTGGTTTATTCAAGTAGCGTTTCAATCCCGGCTGGTGCCTGAGTGCCTGGCCTGGAGTTTGTTCCTCTTTCCTTTTGCAGGGAAGAGGATCATCTTCATCACCAACAACTCCAACTACACGCGCCACGGGCTGATGCAGGCGAGATTTCTTCGTCGCGCTTCGTTTGCCGCCGAATGGTGTTTGGTTTTTGGCCATGGCACAAACCCCGGTCGACCGTGCCTGGCTCACCACCAGAAACCCCCTCTCTCCAACCTTTTTCTGGAGACAACCCCGGTATTCAAAGGAGATTTGATTGAAGATCGGACACTGTTGCGGGGGGTCCTTGCTAATTGGATGCCCTCCGCCTTTTAAGACATTTGCCAGGGGAAATGTCCCGCCAAGAGGAAATTGGGAAAGGTGCCATATTAGAGGGAGGAAGGCAAGAAGGCAAAAAAGTATTGTGTTTGAGGAAATTGCGTTTGATGCTTCCATGTTGGTTTGCATTCGGAGTACACCAAATGCTTCAGAGTGCACAGGGCGGACCAGAGGTACCACCAAAGAAGGTCACCAAGTGTTTCACCTTTAGGTGTCGGTACTGATGCTAGTTTCATTCCGAACTTTGTTTGCTTTGTTTGTTTCTTATGTTGGTTGGGGGTCGCATGATGTATGATTTGATGTGTTGATGCTTTGAACACCTGTTTGCGGTAAGCGGGGGCCAACCAATAGAATCATGTTCTGCTGAACTGCAAAAAGTGGTAGCGTTTTGACGTGCTACTTTCTTGGTGATTGGCATTTGTTGAGTGTGTGTTCTTTTTTCTTTGGTTCTATTCATGTTTCATGGGGCTGCAAAGACCACTCTTGTTTGGTTATATAGTGGTTGCGTGAGTTATTTTGGGAATCGTGTGGTATTGATGTGGTATTGATTGCGCAAGGCCCTCATTTCATTTGTCCAAGCCCTTCAGGATTTGGAGAAGAAGCACCGCATTTTGCTGCCCGGGGCTCGTGACGCCATGTTGTGAAGTCTTGCTGGCCGCCAAAGCCAGGGCTTTATCACAGCAAGGTGGCAATCGTCGTAACCTCAATCTGAAGCGACCTTGCCCATGAAGGTTCCGTTCTTCGGGATGCTGGGGATTTCAGAGGTGAACTAGCGGAAGTCCCCGAATTGTTGCTTAGTCTCTTGTTGGAGGGGCATAAATTGAGATATCTTGGTTGTCTAGAGGATACCACAGACAATCACAGACCCACCGAGGGCGGAAATCCCCACGTTTAGAATGCTTACAAGAGAGGTTAGTTTCTCCCGAGAAACTAGCGCTTCGAGCTTCCTAGGTAGAAGTCATCTCACACAAAAGGGCCGGGCCTGGGTGTTTTGGGCATGTCTCAAAATCAGGACCACGCCTTTTCTGCAAGACATTGAAACAGAAAGGCATCCGGTACAGCCACCTCGAAGGGTTCAACCAATTTGGAGACACAATCTGGCGAATACATAGATACTAGAATGAGCATTAGACGCGTAGTGAGATGCATTCGGACTAGCGCCTCAAAATGATCACTGTATCTCCAAATGATCTTGCTTTCCCAATCAAATAAGTGTGCCTGGCAAGTCAACACATACGTTTGCATGTCCATAGCCATGTTGTTCACCCATCTCCCCTTCTTGTTTGGCGGGTCCCCCATTGAGAATCGATTCAACCCAAAGGATAAATAGTTCCCTTGTCCAAAAGGGTTGCTAGGGAAACTCGTGGTTTGAACTGGAATTTTAGGTTACTGGCGGCCCTAGCAGGGTGTTTGCATCCCCCGAAAGACGGAAAGACGCCACATTTGGCAGCTTTTGGCCCTAGGCCTCAAGTCAGACCCAGTTGATCGCATAGGGTGCCTTCGGTGGGTTGCAGCTCAGTTTGCTTGGTTGGGTCCTACCAAATTCCCCCACCCCCACAAAGGACCTCTTTTCGGGGTTAGGGGCTTAACAACCTTAAGACCAAACAAGGCTTGATAAGGCCAGATAATTACGCTTCTTTATTGGAGAAGACCATTTTGGTCATCAACAAATAGACAATGGGCCGTTTTGTTGGCGAATCGGAACTAACAATTGGCCACCGGCCGAAACCCGACGCGCGCGACCTCGCCGTGAGGCACCAGACGGAGTTGTCCCACACCTTGAGCGGGCAAAAGCTGGAGGTCGAGCCTTCGGCCTTTGGGGCGGACCTTCGGGGCGGGCGATCAGGGCGGCTGGGGGGGAATTTCGGGGGCCGGCCGAAAGGTAGGTGTCAGTAGCTGGAGGGATTTGGGGGAGGAAATCGCAGGAGTGTCTATTGTACCACAATAGCATTAAATGAGGAAATGGGCACGAATGTTTGGTTTGTTGGTATTATTGAGTTGGCTGGCTGGCTGCTGGCTGGCTGGCTGGCTGGCTGGCTGGCTGGCTGGCTGGCTGGCTGGCTGGCTGGCTGGTTCATTCGGTGTTGGTAGGTCCGTAGGGGTGTGGAGTTGCAGGTTTCTAGGTTTGTTGGTCGTCGATGTCAAATCCTTTAAAGGGCGCGCAGGTATGCTGAATTGCAGCCTTCCAGGTTGGTAGGCGTGTAGGTTTGTAAGCTTGCTGAGTTGTAGGTTTGTAAATCTGCTAATTGATGGCTTGCTGGTGTGCAGCTTGTTCGTTGGTTGGTCGGTGGTTTGATTTCCTCAAGTGAGCCTATAGTTTCCCTTGGATTGATTTTTTCAAGTGAGCCTATATAGTTTACCCAAGCACGCAAAGACTTGTGCCTTTTTCGGTTTTAGTCCGAGGCGCCCCTCAACCAGAAGATGACAAGTGTGCGGGTCCGATCAATTCGCTTGGCCCAGATAGGTGATGTGAAACTGGGCCCTACCAACCAACCAACCAACCAACCAACCAACCAACCAACCAACCAACCAACCAACCAACCAACCAACCAACCAACCAACCAACCAACCAACCAACCAACCAACCAACCAACCAACCAACCAACCAACCAACCAACCAAGTAGGACAACCAAAATGGTTTCTTGCCGACATGGCTCGTTGGATCCCACTCGCCTACTGTGACGGAAGGTTGGCGGCCCAAGGCTCAGGGCCAAATGAGCAGCGTATTTGTTTTGCGATGTATTCACTTGGTATCAGGGGGGGGGGACTCTTTTGTTGCGGAGGCACCGAGTAGGCAGTTCTGGTGGGGGCAAGCAGGCCGCACAGGTTGTTAGTTATGACTTGAGATTAGCGCACGCCCGAGAAAAGTATGCGGAGGCTCCGCGTAGGCATGGCTGCCAGTAGGCATGGCTGCCAGTGTATAGGGCTGAACACCAAAAAACACTGCTTAAATGCGTGTTTCTCATATTATAGCAATCTTGCTTCCTCGTGGATTCCCTCGAAAGCCATCCACGAGTCACCAGTTTGAGAAACCTGAAAATATGGCCTTTAAGGTGAGGGGTCTGAACGTTGGGCTTTGTGCAGCAGTGGATCAGTCTGTTAGATCTGCTTCAGTTGGGCAGCATACTTTCTCTCCCAAAGTTTGGGAGCAAGACTAAAGAGGGGATCCTGTTGGGAGAAACTCACCCCGACGAATCCGCGAGGAATGTCCTGTTTTGTGGCAATTCTTGCTCAAAAGTTCTCAAATTTACGTTGAGGAGCGTAAAATTGGAGGATGTCACACACATGGACCCCCTTCTGGGTTATACAAGGATTTGGACATCCCCTTTTTCATTGACTTCCCCATGAGAGTTCTGGAAAGTCTGAATTGGCCAACCATTGAACGGCCCAGTTGTCGGGTGTTTGGACGTGTTTGGTGTCCCCTAATGCACAAGCCGAGAATCTCCATCAAGCTCCATCCAACCTTTATGCACATAGGGATAAAACCATAGACCTCCAGCAATGCCCGGTTTTCTCGTGTTTTGGGCGGGCTTCTCTTGTAGCTACCCATCAGAAGGGTGCACCCCTTTTCCCCATGGCCACCAGAGGCCATGGAATGGGTTGGACAAAAATATAGGGGACCTGCGCTGGTTTTATGTGAAGTGTGAACAGCAACCGGCCCTCTTCATTCACCCATGAGTTTTCGAGATCCCTTTTTGCCCCTTCAGTTTTCTGCTCAGTCCCGTTTCGGGGTCCTGGAAGACTAGTTGCTTTAAAAGAGAAGTTGGTGCATTTCATAGGGAGACCCCGACAGCCGGAGCCCGCTCCGGCCCCTTGCTGGTCTTCCAGGACCTCCGGCTTTGTGGGAAAACTCGCTTCGGGCGTGTTGTTTTTTGTGGGTACCCTTGGGGTGTCGTCTCCGGAAACTAAAAGGCAAAGTCGTGACCATGCTTAAAAGCATCCTCCCCAAGCCACAGACCTACCCGCCCACTCGCGGAGGAAGCCAACGGCAAGGGCAAGGGCAAGGGCAAGGGCAGGGGCAATGCCGTCGATAATCAGATCGTACGTCAGCATGTGGTTACCAGCGCCAACACCTGTGCATGGTTCTTGTGCCTTGGCTCGAGAGGGACAGTTGCTCACTTCCCGAGTTTCTGGACTTCAAACTTTTTAGGCAAGACCGTCTGAGTGCCTGGAATCCCATATGTGTGACGTGTTTTCTGTCCATACGTCTTGGGCCACAACAAATGACCATACAGTCAGTTACGGTTTGTTTGTCAAAATTTGGTTGACAAAAATACAGGTTGCATACGGCCAAACCAGCCAGAAAAAAAGGCGATACGGGGAAAGCGATCCAAATACGGGTTCCGTCCAAAAAAAATAAATAAATGGCCATACGGCTTTCCAGGTGGTAAACAAAACGTGTAAGCTTTGTTTTGGCCGCGCATTTTTGATTGGAAGTGACTTAAAGGGAAGCCAAAGGTTGTTTACGCAATCCTGGTATCATGTAAGAGCTTGGAGCACCTCTGGTGGTCTTCGGTGTGGTTTCTGACTTCCTGAGATTCAACGAGACAAGGGTAGTGGAAGCCCCGCATTCAGAACTGCTTGATATTGGACGCCTGAATCGTGAGCAAGCGGAGAGCGGGGCACCTCTTTTCTGCCAGCAACAAGCCGTCCTTAGGAGATGCTGAAAAGCGCAACAGGTTCCCAATGGACAAGTGTGCAAGCAAAGGTCCGGGGTATTCGCGTGAGAGCTGGTTTGGCACGGCCTATCGTCACTGCGCGGAAACGTATTTCAGAGGGACCGGCAATGACTCTCCCTGCATAACATGGAAGCACCGCGTGTGGTTTACCCTCCTTTGCAGCCTTGGACACATGGCAGAACCAGCCCCCAGCTTGTCAAAGCGGCAAAACCCACGACCCCGCCTTCAGGAATGTGTTGGTTTTCGGGGCCGCGCCTTGGAGCAACCAAAGCACTGGTTGCGGCTGCATGTTTGTCTTCAAAGTGTAGAGGGGTGGTTGTAGTGGGCCCTAGACATTTACATGCTCAAAAAATGTACAGTTCCTTTTGGCTTTCCCTCAACCAACCTGCAAACCCTCAAAAGGATCCCCAACTTTTGCCAAACACCAGAAACAAACAGCTGTGGAAAAGGGGCGCTTCTTGTATGTCTCCTTGAAACCCATTCAATCCCTGTAGTACTACCCACAAAAGACACTATTGTTTTTCTTTGGATCTCTGGGTGACAGTTGCCTCATCCCTTAATTATTTCGACCTTCCTACCGCGATTCGTCCAAAAAACGAATTTTCTCCGGTTAAAACGACACCTCGGTTTTTTCATAACCGTTGCTTCCACTTGACCTTCTTTTTTGTTCGACCGGCTTCGAGGAAGCAGAAGGGCATCCAGCGGCCCTTCGTGATTTGCTCCACCACGTGCCTCTGCGAGGAGCTGGCCCGAGGGCCCCAGTGCCGCGGGGCATGGGGAAGCGTCGAAGGGCGTTGAATGCCATGGGAGGGCGAACTCGGCTTTATGGAACGGGTGCCCTTTCTCACTTTATGAGTTCCTGGACTTCAACAACGTGTTGATCCAGAAAAGAACTGAGCTTTTGGGATGGGCCGAAAGGAGTTTCAGAACCCTCAATTTTGAGAGGCACCATGTGTGTGTGTGTGTTCTCCTTTATATAGTTCTATTCAAAAAAGACTACCCATGTGAGGTTGGTCGAAACTACCGGTGGTGTATGGTCCATTTCGGAGGGATGGGGGAACTCACTATCCAGGGACTTTAATTGTCCCATGTCGTGTTGGGTAAACAAGAAGTTTTGGCCTCAGAAGAAATCCAACGGTGTATGGGTATTTGCTTTTCCAGACATCCTATGTCTGAGTCCTCCAAATCAAGCAACCAAACAAAGCGAGGTTTGGGGTTTCGTCCAACAGGAGTTGGATGCCCAAATGACAAAGGCCCCAAGGCACTCATGTGCCTGTCAACTTTTTTTGAGGCTCAGTACCCTTGGGTCTTTAAAAGGAAGCTAAAGGGAGGCAAACGCCTATAGCAGTTCCTTCTGAGAGCCCATGGTTCCCTTAGGTTTCGCCTGGGTTGTGGAAGCTGAAGGGGAGGGTACGCTCGGAAGCATGCAAAGTCACAGAAACTGGGCACACAGCTTGAGCAGCAAACGCCCATTCTCAAGCAAAACGGGGAGGCAGACATTCTTTGCACTCCCCATTTTGCGCCCCACCTTTTGGCTGCAAGCAATGGCATGGGCGATGTTCCTGTTCGGTGGGTGACGGGCCTCAGCATGCGCAGCAGTACGAGGGTTTTACAGGGGCCATTGCACAAGCCTTTGAAGCATGGGTTCTCGGTTTGGACCAGAGTGACGCACAAAAAGTCCGGACTCGTTTTGGCCAATCCACTCAAGAGGTGAAGCGTTTTACTTATTGACAAACAGCGCAGTGGTCAAGCAAAAGGCTTCGGGCTCAGCGGGCACCTTGTTCGGAGAATCGCTTGTGCCCACCCTCCTGGCACAGCACTGCAGCTGGCCAAACGGACAGCTTCTGTTCGCAGTTGGGTTGGAACCTTCAAACTACTTGGACCCAACACAACCGCCTTCGCGCACAGTCGTATCGCTATTGTTCCCGGATTCAGATCGCAGCCTTCCGGATCCGGAAGTTCGGCTGAAGCTTCCATCCGTGTCCAGAAGCAGAAGGATTTCCTAAACTGGCTGCTAAATAGCTCATATGGCTGTGGGTCAAAACCAATGGTACAGTTTTGGGGTAGGTGCACCACCCATGTTAGTCTATTTTAGTGGGCATTGGGATGTTCGCTGGGCGTACGGGCTTTTGACCCATGGCCATATGCGTGAATTGATGCAAAGGGAAACGAACATTTGGGCAATGTCCTTTCAAGATTCAATTCCCATGCGTGTTTTGTGTCAGGCCTGTTGTCTATAGATTTCAGGTTTTGGAGTTTCTCCAAAAGCTGGACACGCTATGTAAAAGGGAACCAACCGTTTTGTGGGACCCCTATTTGGCAAACACCCCCTTTGCCTCAGTCTCCGAGGATGCTTTTGGCATTACCAACTATGTGGCCACCATCAACAAGCCACTTGGCGCTGACCCGCTGACCGTGGGCGGGGGGGTGAGAGATCCGTGGATCGGTGCAGATATCCGGGACCAGGCTTCGATTACTCGGGTGACCAAAGGGCTGGTTCTTTGTTGGCCCATGCAGGGAGTTGAGTGATTCAACAGGGACAGCAGCGAACCAGTACTCCATCGAAAAGCCTGACTTCATGGTTCTTTGCTGGTTTTCTTTTTTGGGGGGTTTGTGTCTTCCGTTCATTTGTAGTGGGTGTGTGCCAAAAAACACACTTGTGTTGCTGACATGCCAAGGATTGGAAAGAATAGTCATGAAGGCCTTGCAGTGGCATCACAGTAGTCGGTTCGCCCACCGCAGCGTCGGCCGTCTTGAACAGTTGCTCCTACTTGATTTAAAAATCAATATCATAAACTCTGTTTTTTTCTGGTGCATCTGTTTTAGACCCCAGAATGTGTGCGAATAGCTCGCTAGAATAGTGTTGGGGGGCTGGAGTGTTTCTTGGAGGCTTGCCTTTTCGGGGTGGTTGCAATGGAATGAGGCGGATTAGGTTGAAAGCTATCCCGGGCTGCAAAAAAAGCTGTCGCACGTTTCGGGGAAAACTCAATTTCAGCACAAACGAGCATTGCCGATCGTCATGAGTCCTGGGCGTGCCTTTCTCTCCCTTCCACTCGTTTTGCTGGGATCTCTGTTCATATTTTCTAGTTGAGGATTGAGGATTCACTAAAAAACTTGAATCATATTTTAAAAGGAATATTTTAGTTCGGAGTAAAAGCTGGAGGTGGTTTCACTTCTTTCAATATAGGACCGTTGGCTTGCACCTATGACTCCTGGTTTATGCCATCGATGTTTCCGGTTCAGCTGGTCGAACCGAGGGATGGCAAGCCCAAGCAAGAGTTCTTGGAAGAGGCGCAAAGGGGCACGGGACGGTCGGCGAGCTTCAGAGCCCAGAGTTCAAAAGACAGCCTTTGATCTATCAGAAAGGTTCATTCCGAACCGTTCTTCTAGAACTCTTGGGGCACAAAGGCCTTCAGGAGGTTGGGCTCCAAAAGGACAGCTAGTTTGGACTTCTGGAGGCTTCTTTGGGGCTCCTGGGGCTGTTTTGGGCTTTTAGGGGTTGGGGTTTCACAGGATCTCGACCCCTCCCCCTAGCTTCGGCTTTCGGCAGTTTTGCGTTTACCTAGATTTCACTCACGAAGGGGTCTTCGGCCACAACTTGTTTGGACTTGATTTGGACCATTTTGGGGGGGGGACAAAAGGATGCAGGGCCTCCTCCAAGTCCCTTCTTGGATTCGTGGGTTTCCTCAAAGGACCTACCCGAAAGGCCACTGCTTGCAACTCGCGTGACATTTTTTTTGGCGCCGGAGAAAAGGACACCAACCCACCCAGGTTCAGGGGGATCTCGGAGCCTCGCTCGGCGGTTTCGATCATCAGATCACCAGCAAGCGCGTCTGCGACCTCGTGGCCAAAGCTCCCGACGTGGACGCAGTGGTGATCGGCTGGGATCAGCACTTCACAGCTCCTCGCTGAGACGGCTTCCATGGGGTGCTTGGGTTCTCCGATAGTTTACAGTTGGATGAAAGTTGGCACAGTTTCCCCCATTTTGGTTTAGTCAGTTTGCTTACTCAAGTACAGGTTATTGGGCCATCTACGTTCACCCAGATGTATAGTTGAAGGTAGACTATATACATGTATAGACCTGAATCTTAAAGGAAACGGTTACCCTTTGCTCTTTTCATTTGTCCACTTTTCTCGGCTCATGTGTTTTTGCGCACTTAGTTAAATATTCCTCTTTTTGTAGAGCATAGTGGCAGGAACTGCCTGAATCTCCTGTAGCGCTACTCCGCACCTATAAAACAAAATCAGACTAGACATTATGTACTTGACTTTCCTTTGGTTTCCCTGGTTTGACATGTTCAATTTCTGCCAGAGGTTTCGGAGCAGCACTGTTCTTGCTTCATGTTGATGTGTGTCGCACCCTCTAAACTTCGTTGGTATCCATTTGGTCAGGTTGCTTGACAATAGATGGGTTCCACTGGTTTCAGTTTAGCTCCAATCATTTACTAGTACCGTTTATTTGTTCGAAAGGACACCTGACTCAAACCACCCAACCCATGACACACATATATCCTTTTTGAGTATCATATGCTATTGGGTTGTTTGGCCTATTTGCTTAAAGCTTATGACTGTTTTAAGAGCAAGTGGTCTGCGCAGGGTTCCATGTTTGTTTGCCCAAGGCAGACAGAACCCGGTTGATTTCTGAACAGCAACCGGTTGCTTAAGAATATGTGCTTACTTTCTCTGGTTTTAAAAGGAATCTCTCACTACCAACCGAAAGCATTTGTTTGGGAACTTGAGCACGTGGGACTTAAGCAATGGAGGAAGGAATCCGTTTTGGCTACATAGGGGCGAAGGCGGAAGGCCTCAGGCCTAGCGCTTCGTTTCGCCGAGACGGGGTCGATTGTCAGAATACAGCCCTCCCCCCCAAAGACCCCCCAAAGTTAGGGGATTTGTAAGCCGTTTAAGGCCACACTTTGGCTTCTTTGGGGTCGCAGCTGGTATGTAGGGTCCCTGAAATTTGCCAAGAGGTCCAAGAGTTTTTGCCAACTCTCTGCGCTCAAAGGTTCCGCGAGACCTTATCGAAGGGGTAGGCTCAATCGCAAAATTCGCAGGAGGTTTGAGGTGTCGGTTGTTTGCTTTCAGGCACAGGAGACCATCCGATGGTTGGGCCGTTTTGCCCTGTGGTCTTTGAGACAGATGGGAGGTTCCTGGCTGAATTTGTTTGGGTGGGCAAAGGGTCAGAAGCAGACTTCTTGGGAAGGGTTGGTTCCTACTGTGGATGCACGAAATCCTGCACCACCTGCAAACCATGGGAAACTATTTCTAGGGTTCTTAGGTGGTGCAGAGTTTCGTCCATCCACAGTATCCTAATACGAGGGAACTCTCCCCCCTTTCAGTCAAGAGTTTCTCATTGGAAAGCCCGGGGGCCGGTTTTCTCGGCGTTACAGTGGAGAAACAAGTTTGGCGAGTAGGGTGCGTCACAGTCAGTTTCCTTTTGAAAAAGCAGTTGGATGAAAGTAAACCCAACATAAAGGGATTTATGGAATTTACTTTCACCCTGGTGACCTCTGGCAAACTCTGTTGACCTTTTGACCCGTTTGCCCTTTGGGTGTTAGTCATGTTCCCCATCAACCAGTCCGACGTTTGCCTGCGATTGGCTTCGACCTCTGAGGCCTTGAAAGCCGCAGCCGCGCGGATGCAACAAATGGAAGTGGAGGTATGGTCCTGTTGAAGCGACCCTGAATGGAACCTCGAGATGATGGTAGACTTCCAGAACTATCCTTTCCACTTCCATGATTGTTAAAAAGAGGGTAACGTTTTATTTCCAGGTCCTTTTGGGGAAGTGAGAATCCAGGTGTTTACGTCCCTGCAAATTAGCTGAAGAAATCCGAATTTCGAATGGGAGGAAGACACCATTGACGGTCCCACGCACATTGGTTCCCAGGCATTTGGTGGTGGTGGTGGTGGTGGTGGTGGTGGTGGTGGTGGTGGTGGTGGTGGTGGTGGTGGTGGTGGTGGTGGTGGTGGTGGTGGTGGTGGTGTTTTCTGGGGCAAGCGCCATTTCAGGGAGGCCTAAATGGTTTGGTTGCCGTTTGGTTTGCCACGTTTGCCCACACTGTTTTATGTAGGTGTAGTGATTCTACATTTGCTTGCAATCTACCCGTGAAAGTTATGCAAAGGTTTGGCCACAAGTTCCACGAGGTTTTCAGACATGGGCGAGTTGTTTTTCCTCCCCAGACCTCCAGTGGTTTGTGTGACGCGCTTTGTTCCTTCTTTTGGTGGCGTTGATTTGCAAATCAACCAACCCAAAAGCAAGTGTCCTTCCTTCCCCCTGGCCACTGGAGGTCTGCTTGGCTCTTCAAGGCAAACCAAAATAGAACCTACCAGGTTTACGGTTTCCTTAGGGACTGAAGCCAGTATGCATTGTCAGGCCAAATTTGTGTGAATATTCAGTTGGTTGGAGCCTTCGTGGGCAATGGGAATCCATGGGAATCGATGTCCAACAGCCAGTTTTGAGACTATTTCTCCTTCAAACATCGCCAAAAGCTGAGCCAGTCGCGAGGCCAGTAGCGAGTTGGATGTTACTTGGCACGAATTTCGCAGGGGCCCAGACTAGCTCACGTTCAACCGTTTGGACCTCGGCCTTCATGGTATATCTTAAACTGGGAAGGGGTCTTTCAGGGCTCCTAGATTTCCCTTGAATTTGTTCAAAACATTGTAAACATAACCTTTGGGCCAAGTTTCAGTGAGTTTCCTTTGGGTAGGGTGATGTTTGAAAGAGAAACCTGGAGAACGCTGTCTTTGGTCTGGGTCCCTGCCTCTGGCCAGCCCATCCCGAGGTGGCAACTCAGTATATCAAGTGGTCAGAGGACTGCGTGCGTCGCGTGGAGCAGGGTTCAGCTCAAGGCGGTGTTTATTTTGGTTTTCCTTTGAACCAAGTCTGTTTTTTGTTGTTGTTTTTTCTCGCTTTTGCACACAGCCGCCCGTTCGGCCTTGTGATTGAGTGGGCAAGCATGTTATGGTGGTGTCAAGGTTGCAAAAGGTCAATCGTTTATGGTTTTACCCTTCGTACACAAACCTTCATCAGCATGTTGGTAGAAGCCTACGTCAATTGGTGTTGGTCGCTGCTCATGTTTCCTTATCAGGGCACCACATTCACCTAAACATGGGTATAGAGCCAGGTGTCCTGGTCATTGGGCGAGTGCTTTTGATTGCGGCCCTTGGATGCAGGGGAGGTTCCGACAAGGAAGATAGAAGAAGGTTCCTTGCCACTTCTTTGGGTCAGCACATCCTGAACACTTGGAAGATGAGTTTGGGTGGGAATCTGTTCGAAGAGGCTTTAGTTTCCTTGAAGAGGATTTAAATTAAACTGATCCGGCTGTGTCACTGTCGTGTCGGGAAGACGAAAAAACACAAATGTCATTGACGTCCAGGGTCCTACAGAATTTGAGCCAAGCCCAATTTTCAAGATGTCATTCGCTCACTTGTCCAAAGCCGACTTCTTTGTTTTCCCCACGTTTGGTCTATTTTCAGTCAAGGTTCCAAAAGTTTAACCTTTTATGTCCACGCCATTTGAGCAAGTGAGCACGATGTTCCTCATTTCCCCGGGGATTTTCCTCCTACTGGGCGAAGGAGAACGGAAAGACCTTGCCGGTGATCTCCTGTCTGGGCGCCCGAAGGTCCTTCGGGAAGTCGGGTCCGGATCTTTGTGGTTTCGCTCCCCGAGGTCCTGGACTTTTACCTGGGCTGGACCATTTTCGGGCGAAATCAGCATGGTGACTTTTTTTGGGGCCGATCGGAAGTGAGATGCCGGTTGCTTGTCTCGGAATATAGCATTGTTTGTCCAGGGGACTTTAGCAAATGGAAGTTACCCAACCCCAGCTACACAGTCCACTATGGCTTACTTGCCCAGAGGGAGACCAAAGGGATGCATAATTTAATGTGTTTTTTTTCAGACGCCCCAATTAGCACCTAGCAGGACAAAGCTTTGGCAAAAAAACAGTCCCCTCAAAGCAACGCAAAGTTGTATCTTTCACTTGCTGGTTCTCGGGGCCCATGGAAACAACTAGTTGGATTGGATGGTTGGACCCGCTTTTTGGAGACCCTTTAGTTCGGGGGCACCCAAATCCTTTGGTGTGTGGTATTGCAGAATTTGTTTTGGAACCCACACCATGAGCCCCTTCAAAAGGCGGTGGTGTAGGGTTTGCCATCAACTCCTTAACCCCTGTTCAGTGGAAGCCACCCTCATCGCTCCATATGACAGCGACTCCATGTTGAACACTCAGCAGCTCGGTAGCTAGGCCCTCGAACAGACCCCCATAGCTTCAGCGGCGCGTTTCCTTTCAACGGTTTTTGGAGGTTTGAACATCCATCGGTTGAACATCTAGGGACCCAAGGGGAGAGACAAGATCGCCAAGGTGGAAGTTCAGGGATCAGAAAGAAGCCAGCTGATGTGCACTGGCGGCTTTCCTTTTGGTTTCCCTTCAAAAGGGATGTCCTTGATGATGAATCAACCCCTCCGCATCACTTTTTGGTGGGGGCGCCGGCCGCAGTTGTCCGTAACTTGTTGATCCGGGGTCGTCACGAACCCACCCCCTTCCCATTTTCTGATTTTGGCCACCTTTTCTTCCTGTGGGTGTCATCGTGATTCAGCTGGCAAAATCCACATGTGTGAAATGTGTTTTCCCCTCCGAGTAAGGAGTGTTTTTGAGGTTTGCTTTTTGAGGTTTCCCCAGCCGCAAAAAAGAAAGAAAAAAGCACACCAAGCCTTCGATCAACACCAATTCTACCCCGGGCCAAACACCCAATCACGTCCTTGGGAGGATTTCCCTGCCGCAGCATTGGTGTTTAGGCTCCATGGATCGAAGTGGCATGCTGGGGACCACGGATGAGAACTTCTGCAAAAGCCAAAGCCTCAGAACCCGAACGACCTCGAGGCTTGGGGCCTCTGGCGGTTGATCTTTGGTCTTAGAAATAGATGCCGTGGTGAGGCCTTCAGGTTGCGAGTCTCCTTCATGTCACCTCGGATCAAACCTGGCATATGGGTGGGTGGGTTTTTCTTCAGGCGATTCACCAGAGGTGCCCGAGTATTGCTTGGCTTCTTCTTTTTCTGGAGAACGATGTACGGTCTGAACTCTGACCCCACTCTCTCGCACGAGTGGCTTGTTTTTGGTAGAAAGAAGTGCCCTCCCAACGGGCGGTGCCCTCCCAACGGGCCGTTTGGCAGGTTCCACGTTGGATGGCAGGGTCGACCCTTCGACCATTAGACTTCCAATTGAAGAGGTTCCCACAAGTTGCATGTCAGTAGTGGATGTGCGGTTCTGGAAACTGGTTTTGAAGATGGTCCGCGATTTGTCAACCAAGATGGAGCATCAAATGGTAAACTTTGGTGGATTTTTTTCTTGGAACGTTTGACCCTGATAAGGTGAGTTGAGCCAGAACCATTTGAGGGGAGGGCGTGTAGGGCCCTTTTTGCTGGCATCACTAGCCCCACCCCCACAGACCCCCGTTCAAGTGGGCTTTGTGCAAAGATCCTCTTTCAAGGAAAGGTCAGTTGGCCTTAGGGTCACTCATCAGGCCAGAACTTCAACTGCAAGAAGATCCGGGCCGTGCGAGCCCCGATACGCTTCTTACAGGGCTCCTAAAAGCACCCCCAAAGGGGATGGTTTAAACATCGCCGAGTTTAGGGATTCTTTTTGTGGGTGATGTTTACAGAGGAAATATCCGGAACTCTGTCTTAGCTATTTTTTCTTGGGGCCTCCCTCCCTCTGTCTCGGGGGTAGATGCTTGTTGGCGTTGTTTGTAGGTCAAATACGCCGAACACTTTGAGGATGTTCGAATTTGTTTGTTGGGTGAATGCTTTTCAGCGCCATTTACAGGGTAATGTTGACCCTGGAATAATAAACTTGGTAGCTTAATAGGAGGGGGTGCCGCCCAAAAGTGAAGGATCCCCCACTCCTTCCTGTTTTAATCAACTAGGGCCCAAGCGATCTGGCATTCCCATCAATTTTGTCAGGGCCACTTTCATGCGAATCTGCGGGACCATGTGTTCAACCGTCGTGCCCCACATGCTTGGGTTCTGTAAAACTTGAGACGGCGGACCTGACGTGGGCTTTGAATGTGGTCATCACCACGCAATGAGCTTGTTTGGACGGATCAACTGTTGCAGTCACTACAGTTTAAGGAATTCCGACTTAATTGATGCTGTGTTCGGGTAAGGCTTGAATGATCCCAGTCTTTTGTCCTCCAGTTGACACCCTTCAAAAAGGGCCAACGTGGGGAGTTTCCAGGGTTGAATTGGGATGGGGAGAATGTCCTGCCTCTGCCTACTCAACTACTTTCCCGGCTTCCTAGATTTCCAGGTTTCCTCCTTTAAGACAACACCCTTTGGGACAATTCCGAGAGAGTTTGCGGGTTGGGTTGGTCGAGCTTGGGCTCGGGCACATGCGCCCGATGCTGGGCTGCTGACCCTCGCTGCAGGAAGACTCTCAACCAGTCGAAGCTGCAAGCCCGAACCTGAACAAAAGCAATATCCTAAAGGTGCAATTACGCCCTGGTAAATGGAGAAGGGGATCCCTGTCTACATCTGTTCAGGGGGCCCCTTTTTAAACACATTCTGGGTGTGTGAATGGACCACAAAGTAGAACCAGGGTGGGGCCTTTGTTTTTCTCGGTTGGTTAGGGGCAGGAATGTAGTGTGCTTTTGAGAGTGTTCCGCTAGGGTTGGCGGTTCCAATTCACTAGGAAACCATGCCGGATCATATTGTTTGGAGCCATTGGGGGTACTTACTTCTTTAGCACATGACATGCAGTGCTTGATATCAATCAGGGACTTCGCAGGGGAAATTGAACTTCCATGGATCCAAGCCATCAGTGCTTCACCCCTTCACCATGTCACATGCCTTCAACTGCACGTTAGTCATTCGTGTTTCTTGATATTAATATATATATATATATATTAATATATATAAAGTGCTTGTTTCTAGTTCTTTCTCCCGACACATCGGCCCCTTTCCCCCGCCTCGCCGAGATGGGCAACGGCTCCATGACCTCCTCGGTGATGCACTGCGCTGGCCTCCTGGAGGCCATCACGAGTTCGAACGGAAAGGCGCTGCTTCCAAGCGCTGGAGAAGCGATTCCCGCAATGCTTGAGATTCGTGGTGTCTATTTTCCCCTGTTGTTTTTTGGGCCGCCATGTACTAAAGATTTGTAGTTTCTATTTTCTCCTGTTTTTTTTTGCATCTGTCACTATTCGGAATGTGTTTAATGAGTTTTGTCCAGGCTACTGAAGCAAATGGAAGTTGGGGTGGATCGTTTCAGTGGCAAGTCAAAAGTTCGGCTAGGTTTTCTGGCCAATCCACGGAAGTGAGTAGCGTAAGGGGCCGAAAGGGTGTCCGATTCCCCATTTGGGAGATTCCGTTCTTACAAGTCAAAAGGCGAAAAAGGGGGTCTATGTCAATCTGCAAGGCACACGCATGATTTTGAACACCAGGTAAACCAGGTAAATCAGGAAAACCACCGGGTAAACCAGGGCCCTATATTTAGAACCAAACTACCCAAAAAGAACACCTATGATTGCAAAGCATTTGGTCCTCTGGCGAACTCTGACCCCTTAAAGGTCCCAAAAACAGGTCTTTTGGCAGACCTACTGCACAGTTGGGACCTCCGAAAATAGGGGACCCCTTTTTGGGCGGTTCAAACCACTCTTTGTAGCGTCCAGCATTGGGGAAACGCCGGGTTCCCAGTTTTATTGGGCCATTGCTGGTGTAGGAAATGGAACAGCCAATGTACAAGGACAGTTATCCAAGTGGGGAAATGATGAACGGAAAAGTAAAGGGAACTTTTAACTACCCAAACCGCAAATCACTGGAAAACTGCAGTAGACGGTGCATAGGGGCTAAAATAAAGATTATGAACCACAAATTGCCGTTGCGGTACACAAGCGGTATGAACTTACCCCAGGGTTCGGCTTCCCCCTTAGTTGCTTTGGTTTGCTGGTTTAAAATCTAGAAGTCACTTTCTCCGCTCCAGGGAACCCGCCCCCCCCCCCCCCGGACCCCCGAAGGATTTGAGGTAATCTCACAGCAATCCAAGACTGTCTAGGCTTTTGAGGGCGGCATGTGCGTTTTGCAAATTGGGGAACCGCAAAATAATGGTGTCCATTTGGGAGACGTCTTAAAATGTTGCATTAAATCATAGTATTCGGGAGGAATACTGTTTCCAACATGTGTACTTTCTTAGGCCGCGTCAGCCAGCGGAAGGGTTCGTCAAAGGGGTTTATCATTCATGCACGCGCGAGAGGTTCGCGAATGGACCACGATCTGCATGTTGTTGTTTGCATGCATGACTGCAAGTAGGGCTCACGCAGGTATGTTTGGCATTGAAGCAAGTGCAGGTGACAAAACTCACAAACACTTTCGACATGCTAGTGCAACACGGCGAACGTTGCTTAAGTTCCTTCGTCAAAGCCTCTCGCGAAAAGAACCTTTGATGCCGCGGCGGCTCCGCGAAAGTCTTTGCAAAAGGGTCTTCAGCAGCTTAGAACACTGCTCATTTGGTGTTCCCTTCAGCACCACCCGAAGGGGAGTCCCATTGTTTTTGCAATACCCACATTTTATATAGTGCTTTTGCACTATATACCCCATGCCAGAACTGCAAGTCGCGCACCTGCACGTTGCAGGTCGTGGACGTCGGACGCCCAGCTTAGCACAGGGACGCAAAATGACAGGTGATTTGGACAAAGTTTGGTGGGCAGCAGTTGGTGACATCGCAGATCTCGTTGTCCTTGACCACAATGAGATGGTAGAAGAAAGTTCCTAGACTTAGGATAACCTGTTCTACATTGACCATTTTTGGCACTGTTCGAAGGCATGCTTTGAGAAATCAATGCAAGTTGGACGGTTTCTTCCATACGTTTGCCTTAAGTACACAGAAAATATTGCAGTGGACCAACCTTTGTGACGCGTACCACCCATACACATCCGTATGGAGTGGATACTGCCGCCTATCTTGGGTGCCACGGCATCACGTCACGTGGGAAAACCATAGCATCATGCTCTCAGATTCAGCTGGAACGAGGCTCAACCTTGAAAGCTGGTCGGTTTCCTTTGGTGTCCCTTTCAGGGTTGCGACGTGTCAAAGACCCCTGGTGCCAAGGATTTCTGAGCGCCGCTTTACCAGGCTACATAACCCATACTTTGAGTTATTCAAAACGGAACCCAACAGGACTTAGGTGAAAATCAGACTAGACAAAGCGCTTCCAAGGTTGGCAAGCCCTCCCTGATGCTGCTGGAACAGTCGGGAGCCCCTATGGCATCGGGCACGCAGCATGCGTTTGGTTGGCTTGTTGGTGGCGCGCTGTGGCTGTCTTGTATGATGTTCCCTGTGGTGTTATGTGTTTTGTGCTGCTTTGATTTTTTGAATCAATGTGTGTTTGTTTGTTTGTTGTCCGAGTGTTTGTTTGGTTGTTTGTTTGGCGGGTGTTGGTTTGCTCGTGTTTTTGTTTTGTTTGTTTGTGTGGTTTGTTTGTTTGGTCAATGGGTTTGGTCGCTGGATTGGTTGGTTGATTGGTCGGTTGGCTAGTCGGTCGGTCGGGCGGGTGGTCGGTTGGGTGGAGGGTTGGTTGGTTGGTTGGTTGGTTGGTCGGTGTTCTGTTTGTGAATTTGTTTGTTGTTCGGGTTTTGTGTTTGTTTCTTTGCTAAGTTGAGTTGAGTTGATTTCAGTTGGGTTGGGTTGGGCTGTGTTGGATTGTGTGTGTGTGTTTGTTGCGATTCGAGCTAAGCAGCTAGACCACGAGGAAATTGGTCAAACCAAGGAATTCGGTTAACCCTCAAAGACCGCTGTATTAGTTGAGGAAATATGTTGTTGTTTTTGTGGGGGGGGCTTAGGGTCCCTGAGACAAAAATAAAGACAGGGATGTATGATGTATATGAATACAAGTAGAGCCGGCGAAGCCGGGGGGAGGACGTGTCACAAGAATTGTAGTGTTGTCTCTGTGCTCTTCTCTTTTGTTGTTTCCTTTCTCTTTTTCATGGTTGTCTCTCTTTCCCCTTCCCTTTCTCTTCTTTGTTTCTCTCTTTCTCTCTGTCTTTCTGTCTCTCTGTCTTTCTGTCTCTCTGTCTCTCTGTCTCTCTCTCTCCCTCTCTCTTTCTCTGCTTGACGTTCTTTTTTTTATCCCCTCCTGTGACCTTGAAGAGGACCCACAGAATTGATGTGCTCCTCAAGGGAGCCAGCGTGTTTATTCTCAACGTGTTGAACGAGCAGTGCTTGGATCAACTGAATCTAGCATCCGATTACCGGTTGTAAAGCTGGGCAGTTTGTGGAAAGCTGGGCAGTTTGTGGTGAGATCACAAAAGTTCTTTTCTAGAGGCCTCTTCTTTTGGGCTTGTCAATGCTAGTTCACCCAGAATCAGTAGTGTTGGGTTGCCCCCGTTAGTCAACCTGGGTTTCTTCCTCCAGAGTCCATACACCAGACCTTCACTGGAGCCTTGTTGTTCTTTCGTTGCTACCGACAAAAGAGGTGTCCTTTTTTCCCGTGGCTAATGGAGGTCTGGGATATTGCGCGCACAGTGAGGGGTGTTGAGGGAAGCCGTAGTCGCGGGGTGCTTAGCCTGTTTTGCTGCAGCTTCTGTGTTTTTGGCCCATCAGACCCTTTGGTGGACATCATGTACGGGATGTTTGTCCACCAACCATTTGGGTGTGTTCCTTCAAGTATGATCCCCATCGGCTTGAGGGGATATCACTCATGTTGAAGGTGTTTGTTGAAGAGCCTCAACATCAGGGATCCCAAAATGGTTGTTTGTGGCCTTAGCTTATTTTGTTTCAACTAGCCTATGATGCTAAAGCTCATGTTGCTCATCCCGGTATAACCAAGGTACCGAGTAACCCTTTCGGGTTTTTCAGGACCACATTGTTGGGTTCCCCATACCGATTTGCAGAGTGACTCCAAAACCCTACGCAAAAACCGAGGCTTCGCCGGCCGACGGATGAGCATGGGCTTGGCGTGGACTTCTCGAAGACCGTGGTGGCGGCATGGCCGAAGTGTCGAAGGCATTTGAGCCACAATCAATACCCGGGTAGATGAAGGTCTATTAGTAAGTGCCAATCCCAGCCATAAATGGCTGCGGCCGCCTTCTTAATTCCTTACATGCTTCTGGGTTCACCATTTTAGTACCGGGTTTTGATTGTGGCTCATTTGGACCCCATGGCTTCGGTGTTCTTTGGTTTCCCTTGGCCTGACAAGCGCACCCTCAAAGCCGTTTGCTCAGCTGCCCATGCTCCTTTTTATGGGATACCTTCGGCCAAAACGTGACCCAAATGCCAGTTGAAGCAAAGGATCCCTTGGTAAAGCAGGCAGTGTTCGACTGCGCTCAGAAACCACCCACTCTCAAAGGGCTGACCTCATTCCAATCTTACCCCTAAGAAACTGGATAAGTGGAATGGAAAACTTGCATGGAACCAAAAAGGGGGTCCCTCAAAAGCAGGATCCTGTAAACCTGGTAGAACCAGCGCCACCGGGGGGGACGTCTGAACATAATTTGCATTTCCTCCCCCCCTTCACATGGATACCTGCGTTTTTGTTAGGGGAGGGGGGGGGGGGGGGCTAAATGCAACTTGACACCTGGGCACGTAGAAGTTACAGTTTCTCAGTCCCGCCCCAAAACCAAAAGGTGGATTGACATGTTCACGGATTTCCCTGGGAAGCTTGTTAGGGTGGGTCAGGGGAGTCGCAAAATGCAAGCTGATGATGCTGGAGGGGCAGATGTGGCACATGCGCAGAGGCTTTTGAAGGCATTGAGAATGGGGTAAGTTCATGAAATTGGAACTTGGTTTAGTGCGAGGCACCTTTCTGATAGGTCCACCAGCGTCCAAAATGTAATCTTACATTTTGGCACGTCTCCAGAAAAAAATGCAGTCTTACATTTACCCCCAGAAAATTCAAATTACATTTCCAGACGTCCCCCCCTTAACGGGGCTGGGATGTAGAACCCAGAACCCGAATGCAATTCAGCTTCGAAGCGATTTTCCATCACGTCTCGCGGCACGTCTTTCGTCACGCCCTGCGTCATGTCTATCGCCACGTATCTTGTCACATGTCCTGTAGCCGGGTCTCTTAGAAACGTCTCAGGTCATGTCTCTTGTAACGTCTCGTCGCATTTCTCGTCGCGTCTACGTTGCGTCTCTGGCTGTCTTTGGTCGCGTCACCTCGTCGCCTCCCTGTGCTCTCTCTCTCTCTCTCTCTCTCTCTCTCTCTCTCTCTGTATCCCTCTCTCTCTTCACGTAACTCGACACGTTTGCTTTCACATCTTCCGTCCCTCCTCTCTCGTCACATCTCCTGTCACGTCTTTTGTCACTCGTCATGACTCTCGTCACGCACCTGGTGATGTTTCTTCTCGCGTGTCTTGTCACCTCTTACAGCACGCCTCTGCTCACGTCTTACGTCGCGTCTCTCGTCACGCTACACGTTACGTGCGCGTCTTTCACATCATATGGTATGTCTCTTACCGTCACGTCTCTTGTCGGTGTGATGTGTGTGTGTGGCATGCTCAACCCATTTGTTAGAACTGGAACTTATTGAGGGTCCCCTGTGTTCCTTTGGGAAAACAATGGGACTCTCCCCAAATATTCTGCTGAACCCGGCTGTGAGGGACTTGATTTGTTTCCCACCAGGGGTGCTTTAGAAGGCACCTGCTGTGCGCAGCAGCCTGGTAAAGTGGCCTTTCCCATGTACATAAACAGGTGCTTAGCAACAGCTCGCGTAGGACTCGTTTGCTTTTGTCCAGCATGGGCTTTCTACTGGACTTCCACTTGCTTAAGACTATTTCTATTTTCCCCTGTTGGCTTTAAAGGGAATCTATCACTACTGGACATATTTAGTATATTTTTTCCCAGGGGTCTCAGCCAAATGGAGCTGCTTGTGCTCGCTGCTCAAGCTTGGCCCCAAGAAGGGCGCATGGATTCCACGACCCAGTTGCCCAGCGGATTCCGCCCCGTTTTTCCTTGTTGGGAAGGGTTCCCCTTGGACCTCCAGCCAAAGATGGACGCCCTTCTTCTTCCTGCCACTGACCATCTGAGATGGGTCGCTTCGTACGCTTAGGTGGGCAGCACCCTGAACACCGACATCGAGCTCGCCAACGGCCGGAACCTCAAGCCAGATGGGATGCCGCTGAAAAGCAGAGCTTGCTTCTCACCTGCATGGGTGATGTCCCTTTGTTCATGTAAACCGAAAGTCAGGGTAACCAAGGGAACCTCCCAGTTTTCAGCTGGATCAAATTGATGGATCCAGGGAGAAGCACCGCGAGGGATCAGGGCAGACCTAGCCATGATGAAGGCTCCTTGAGACCTTGTTCATTGCATTTTGCTCATGGGGCTTTATGATTTTACATGATAATTCATTGTTTCGTGCTGTCAGCAAGCACAGCCCTAAGACAGCAGCAGCAAGAGAAAGACAGCGAGAGAGAGAGAGAATGGACTTGTAGTAATTTGTGGGCAGTGACCACCTGATAGCTTTCTCGAAATCGTTTTTAGGAAAGGTGGGTGTCCTTTCCACCCAGGTAATTCTGAGAGTCTCGCTTGAATTAGCCCAGCCCTTGAGTAAATCCCGGTCTGAACATTGTCAGTCCGCAACCTTCACCTGCAAGACCAAGGCGGCCTTTCACCAGTTAAGTCTTGGGTTTGACAGTCCCAACGGCTGGTCGTGTTGGGCCTGCGGGAATTTATGTTGGCTGAAGGCAAAGTGAGGATATGTCCCCTTGACTGCTTGATGTGCTGGGCATTGAATGAAGGGGAGCCAAGGACGAGGTTGTTTCCCTGCAAACCACCACCTGGGTGGTGTCATCATGCAACACGCATATTTCTTTGGGCAATCGGATTCTTGTGGCAATGTGCCCTTTGCCAATCGCTATGGTGCAACAATGATCCTGTGACCATGGGTACAGGGCACACCATCAGCCCAGAATCGAAGGCCCTGTCCCATGAGGTTCCATCCTTCATTTGGCGAGTTCACCGAGTGCAGGTCAAAGTGTGGGGCGATTTCAAAGGCAAGGTTGTTCACATTTGCTGTCAGGTATGTTGGCTTTGGGGACCCTCCGCCAATCCATAATTTGTCATTTTGTATGTTCTTCCAACCAAGGGAGTATGGAAGCATGAAACGGTTTTCCATGGAGTTTTGCAAGAAAGTAGTACAAGGGAGAACGTAGATGCATTAATTCCCTTAAATATATATATATATATATTAAAATCATCAAACATTGGGGCCCTGCAGACCACTCCCAAACAGTTTTT